GTATGTTCTGCAATAGTCCTTCTTTCGAAGCGTATGTGTACTTCTTGCACCCCAGTTGGTTATTCTCAGGTCTCTTTTCAATTGGATTGACATTCAATTGTTTTTCTATTTTCATCTTCAATATTGAAGTGAACACTTTCATAATGACATTGAGACACGTGATTAGACGATAATTGGCAGGATTTTTTGGATCGCCACCTTTCGGTATTAGTACCGTCCTACCCACCAGCATTTCGTTTGGAATCTCATCAGGGTATTTGTACCATCTTCTGAATAGTTTTAGCAATGCCTCATGCATGCAGGTACAATAGTAATGTAATAACCACTGATTTTGTCAATTCCGGGTGCTTTCCAATTGGCTATGCATTTCGTTGCCAGTGTCAGTTCTTCCATTGTGATGTTTTGTAGCTGACGATTTTTGCCATCATACTCCCATACTTGTTTGGTATATTGACATTGCTTGTTTACATCCTTAACATTTTCAAACAAGTCTGACCATAGTTCCATTGTTTGTGCGGTTGTTGGGAGTTCACAGTTTCTCTCACCTCTTTCTGCATTTCTTTTGTTGAACTGAAACCACTTTGAGTTTAATTTTATTCTTCTTGTTTCAGTTTTTTGAAACTCCATTTCATACAAGTGGCAGTTTCGAAGATATTTGAAATATGTGATTTTGTCTTTTGTTAATTGGATCACCATTTCATCACTACACTTATGCTTGTGAAGCAATTGACGAAGTTTTGTGTAGTTTTTAGTCTTGAGGAGATCTGTGTATTTGTTGATGACAGCCAGGAATTTTGCATCTCTGCTTACAGTGTTGAGTACACTTGTTTTTGTTTGCAGAAATTTACTCAATGCATGTGATACTGCATATATCGAATTTTGATACTGTTTTATTGTGTCTATTACTCGGTGAATCTCATTGTTAATATATTGCATCAGTTTTGATATCACCTTTGTATTATTGTAATAGTTCACATATGCAGTCTCAGAATGGTCTTTAGCCATTTCGTCGTTCAATATCTCGCGGAACTTGGCAAAGTCAATTTCTTTGTTGTTATGTATTTTGATGACTTTTCTAACTTGTATTTTTTAAGTAGTTCCTTGTCATTCAGCACACTTTTGAGGTATTCAGTAGCATCATGTTTATGTTTGTTTGTGAGATAGTTGCTCATCTTGATAAGATTCTTGAGCATGTTGGGATTGTGAACTTGACATTGAGATTTTTTAGTATTTCTATACTTTCATCTTGTGAGAGTTTTTTCAATAATTTACTATCAAATTTTTTTAGCGCATATACAATCATTCTTTCTTTCAGTCTCTGACTCATAACGTGATCTGTGGGTTCTGTTGATGTTGTATTGTCGGATTGTGTTGCAATTGTAATGGTGATGTCGTACTCCGGTTCGGGGTTGTGTCCGTTTGTACTATATTGATCACTTGTTTAACTGCACCCGCCACGACATTCATTCTGGTCTCCAACTGACCGGTCGCAATCCCGTTTTTTTGGACGACTGCACCTATGTTGTTGATCACTCGACTTTGTTGTGTCAAGGCTGCTCCAATATTGTTTTTGAGTGCCATGAGACCATTTCCCATGTTATGTTGCACACTCTCTACACTTTGTATTTTTTGGTTGAGCAGTAATTGGTTACTTACAGCTGTTTGTTCTAATTGTGTAACCTTTCCTTCAACATAGCTTGTAATTAGTTGTTTGTCGGCGTTTCTTTCTTGTTCAGTGATGTTTCTTTGAACGTGAGTTGCTGCTCGACAATTGTTCTACTTTTGTCCATGCCCTTTCTAATAGCATCTACCGTTTTATTGGCAACATTTTCTACATCTTTCAATTCGTTGCTTATTTGGCTTATCTTTTCTTTGAAACCAAGTTTTGTTGTAGAAAAATCGTCTTCTATTCGATCTAGTCTTTTGTCCACACCACGCTCATGTTTTTCAAATCTGGTTCTTAAGTCGTGGTTTAGTGTTGTTACTACACCCTTGATATGATCTGTAAGATTGGGCGAGTTGAGGATTTGTTTGACTATATCATCTACTTTCTAATGGGGCTTGCTTTTCACTGTTTTCTCAAGGTTAACAATTTTTTGTTCCATTTGTGTTTGTGTTTGTTGGATTTCTTTGAGTGTCTTGTCGAAGTCATTTAACCTGTCAGTTAGCATCCTTTTCAAGTCGTTGATGCATTTCTCGTATTGATCAGGTTGTTTGGGATTGTCATTGTGTGGTATTATGATGATTTCCTTTTCATCAGTCGACTTCTTAGGAGCAATTTCATTTGCTTTTTGGGGCTTTTTGCACTTTTCTCTCCAATTTTCATTCCTGGCTTTATTGGCTTTTTGAGACAATCGACTTTGCTTTGATTTTGTATATTTTAGTTTCCGGTTATCAACTCCTTTAGTTCTGGTTGCTGAGGTTGTGTGGCTCTTAGTTTGACATTTGGGGTCCTCCCCACATGAAACCGTCACCTGACTAACTTCACTACCCTTATTCGTGGGAGAAATGGAAGGCGAATACTTCATTGGCTGACCTTGCAGGGCCTCGGTATTCTGTTGTAGGTTACTTAGGTACTCTGATCGCAGCTCCATCAATTTTTTGAAAGTTGTTGATCCTTTCTTTCTAAACGATCTCATCGTCTTCGTTGTTGTGTCTAGGTATATTACATCTAGAAATGGAAGCACAACAAACGGAAGGTAACTGAACGATGCAACATTGAGCTTCCCTTTGTCCATCATCAACTCTACCTTGGATAAATTGAGTGAGCGTGACTTGAATCTGTTGATGAACTCCGCCCGTCCACTTCTTAAGTTGAAAATGAACAATTTTTTACCTTGGCGGGGGTAGGGATCGAACCACTTGTCCTTTTTAAAATCTTTATTATCGACGACCAAACGGTCGGAAAATTTTTTTACATCAAAAAGAGGGTTCTCGCTCATGTTTGTATGGATCTGGCTGTTTTTAAAAACAAAAGAGTAGCAAAAAATTTATTTATAAATTATTGTTTATAAATTATTTTTAAAAAAATAATAAATACACCTTTTTATTTCAATTAATCACAAATGTTCTGATGTTGTCAAAATACATGTGTTTATTGTTGTATGTTGTGATATTAAAAAATAAAACAATTATTAATTGTATGTTATATCTCATTGATATGTAATTATTAACAATAAGTTACAAAATTATCATTATGAACATTGACGTAGTTAAACAATGAAATAAGTAACAATTGATAATATTTGACTTTTCTTCGTTTAAACAAAATGTCACATCTATAACACATACGTTACAATCAATATTTGAAAATAACAATCTCATTAACAGTCATCATTCAACTTAAAATAATAATAAACTATACATGTATCTTAACAATTATGTATGTTCGTTATTAATTTATTTGAACGTTTTAATGTGTTGATAACTTTGTTGTGTAAATAATTGAAAACATTATTTACTTTGGATTAATATTATTTGTTTTTATCACAGTTTACTTTAATAACCATTTTTACAAAATTTGACAAAAATGCATTTTTGATCATAATTTGGATTTTTGAAAAAAAACAAAAAAATTCAAAGTTTGGGGTTTTTTTATTTATTTTTTTTTCGAACTTGATTCAGTTTTACAGTTTATGATTTTGTTTCTTAATAATTTTGTTTGAATAAATTAATCCCAAAAGTGGAGATAAAGCTATTAAAAATTATTAAATTCTTAAATGTGGTTTTTTTCAGTTTAAAAAAAATAGAAAAAAACTTCAGTTCACAAACTGCGAAGCACTAAGGTATACCATTTTTTCTTTTTCAAAAAACGATTATTTAATTGAGGTTTGCAGCCCTGAATTAGACTAATTTTATTTAAATGGTTCACGTCAATGGTTTAAAAACCAATAATAATAGTAAACAGTGGGTTAAATTAAAAAAAAATAAAATGGTTAAATAGAATAATATTTAAATTATTATTAATTCCATTGTTTTATGTAAGACTTGAATCATGAAAAATAACACCAAAACACATGTTAAGTATTGTTTTGTATATTTCAATGTGTTTGTCTCGTTGAGTTCAAACACTTTAAAGCATACACCGCCTCATTCAGAAACATTCGTGTTACTTCATTTTTATTATAAACACGCTAAATTAGAAGTATTTCCTATCGTGATGGAAAAATACTGTTTTTAACTTAACCAAATAATAATATCCATAAAAACGAATTCAACGAAACGAAATATAACCAAAATTTTCAAGAGTGGGATTTGTTAAGAATTTCCGTTTGATTTTGGCCAATAAAACGTGGACCCACTTGATAAAGAGCGAGTCTTGTTATCTGGGTTTGTTCTCAAGAAATGCTCAAACAATAGAGAACAACAAAAAACGATAATTACACACTCTGGGGAAATCAGACTGTATTTATAAATGAATTGAATTTGAACTGTTATTATTACTATATATGATAAATTTTAATTAATTATATTGTTTGTTATCACATCAAAATGTTAATGTTGATCATGATTGTGTGATAGTTTATAATTACAGTAAGAGGAAATAGAAGGATGCTCGTTACTATTGGTTATTAATACTAATTAACCAATAAAATTTATAAAAACCAAAATAAATTTAATTTTAGATTAGCATCCCTCTATTTCCTCCTACTGTATCTCTACTTTTTCATATCTTTCTTATTTTTTATATAGCGTGTTTCGTTTTTCGTCTTGCTTTTTATTATTCAATTTTTTATATAAACTTGATTCCAAAAAAGCAATTAATTAGTTCACGTTAGAGTTCTAATTTTTATTATAATTGAACTATAATTTTTACCAATTAACCCCAATTTATGGTTTAATTTAAACTTGTCATACTATATAGTTTTATTATTAATTCTCATAATTAAGTATAAAACAATAATAAATTATAGTAAAAATATAATAAGTAAATTAAAAGTTATGAATATTAGTATAATAATAATAAAATATATTAAAAAGGAGAAATAACAGAAATCAAGTCACTCAACGTGTGAAGAAGGTCTTTTCTTACACAAGCAACACTGACAAGTGTTCTGACAGACAGGGCACCCATCCTTCTCCATAATCTTTAAAGCTTCACCGTTGACACATCTTGGGCAGAACCTATGTTTTTCATTCTTAGGACATAAGTAAACGATATCTCTTTTTTGGCGACATTTATGACATGATACCTTTGTAGCTGTTTTTAATGTTGTGGTTTCGATTTTCGAAGTTGTCTTTTTCTCAGTCTTGATTGGCTCTTTCTCGACGAATTCTTTTGGGACAACTCCTTTTGTTTTTTGATATTTCTGAGAATTAACGACATTTATAGTTAATGTTTCCATTTTCATGTCTTTGAGGGGAGTCGTTAATGGGACTTTGCAAGGCCCACAAAAATTGTCAATTTTGGTCCCACGAGCATTCAACCCATCTCGAATTGATTGGATCAAATCTTTTAATGTGTCCGTGTCGGGATGATTGACTACAAAATCTCCAGATTGAGGATTCGTGATTTTTAGAGTGATGAAATTCAAATTCGTGCTAGTCATGTCTGCTTTTAGAGTTTTTGTCTTTTCGTTTTTATCTGATTTTTAAGTTCTTTTTTTTCACTTTTTAAGTTATAATCGGGTATTATTCTTTTTTATTTTGTTATTATTATATTTAGTTATTTTTTTATCATTTTTTTGAGTAAGTTATATTTTTTAATTAATTAACTTTCAAATTATATATTTTTTATATTGTTGTTTATTAATAATATATTTTAACTAAAATATAATATTTTTTATTACACAATTATTTTAATCAAAAATTTATTAAAAAAGTAAATAAGTTTACTGATAAAAATATTCTAAAAACAATGAACATATTACACATTTGAAAAGTAACTTAAATATTTTATAGTTAGTTAACCATATACCCTGTTAAGTAACTGAACTATAGTTGACTTACAAACTATATTTTAACTAATTTAAATATAATAAATATATGGTTTTATTAATTATAATTATAACAATTATATAAAATAATTTAAATTAACTATAATATATAATGATAATTAATAAAACCATATATTTATTATATTTAAATTAGTTAAAATATAGTTTGTAAGTCAACTATAGTTCAGTTACTTAACAGGGTATATAATTAACTAACTATAAGATATTTAGGTTACTTCTCAATTATTTTACAATTTTTAATAATATATTTTACTATAATTATTATTACTATTATTTTAATAACATATAATAACAAATACTAAAAAGTATAATACCGAAGTATAGTAAAAATACTAATATTATAATAGTAAAATATAACTAACGAGTATAAAGACGAAATCAACTCGAAATTCTGCAAACAAAAACTTAAAAAGCAAATGATCAAATTTCTACTCGTAGTGAATCGACAAGGGAAAGTTCGCCTTCACAAATGGTACACCTCTCACTCATTAAAAGAACGTGAACGTATAATTCGTGAAGTTTCAAATTTGATCTTAAAACGCACCACCACCGTCTCAAATTTTGCGGAGTGGAGAGATTCCACTTTGGTTTATCGAAGGTTTCTTAATAGTAAATTATTAATAAAAATCACCACCATTAATAGTATAAATTGATAGTACATTTAATTAATAAATAGATACGCAAATTTGTACTTTGTGACGTGTGTGGACAAGACGGACAACGAACTTCTAGCTTTAGAAACTATTCATAGATACGTTGTAATCCTTGACAAGTACTTCGGATCAGTCTCGGAAATCGATATCATTTTCGACTTCGCTCGCGCGTACGTCGTCTTGGACGAAGTTATTAATGCAGGTGAACTGATCGAGGCGGGCCCACAAATCGTGTTGAACGAAATCGAACAACAAGACGAACTCCATCGTTCCGACTTAGCTAAGAGATAACTTTTTTGTTTGAGTTTACTATAAAATAGCATCTAATTACTATATTTTTTACTATTACAAGTACTATATATATATTAGTATAAATATTATAAAATATACAATTATAGATGAAAGAGATAATAACGTTCATTATTGCACAAAAATCAGTCCAAATTGTGAGCAGCAAAGTCTAGTAAGGTATACTATCATGATTATATATAAATAGTAACTTATAGAATAAATTAATATAATACTAAAAAAATATGATTCAATAAATAAAGAATTTATGAAGTGGAGACAATCACGACAGAAACGAATCGGAACAATATATATATAAGAAACAGTTTGTTCAGTTTTTTTTCGACTTTTTTGAATAGTTTTTCTGTGTGAAAGAATAGTATGAGATACTACTCATCCAAAACTATAAGTAATTAACAAGTCAAGTACTCAACTGGAAATGATAGAGTGATGGGAAATACCCAAACGCCACGCGTTTATAACGAGTATCAGTCCCCGTCATACAAAGACGTTCTTAAGACGTGTCTAGCGACATTTCCGATGACGACTATAAACAACTTGTACCTTTCAAATGTCCTCTTTGGACAGATTCCAAAGCCTTTCACGCAACGGATCTTCTCTTTGTTTCCTACGAACATTCCATTTCAGATGGTAGTTGCGTTAGTATATATCTTCATGGTCTCCCCAAGACACACGCGAGCGGTATTTATCACGGACTTGTACTTAGGAAGTACTCGGAAACTGTCCCAAGACCAAATCAATCGGTTCTTCTACGACTTGACTGTCGAGACCAACTCGAACGTCGACCTCATCAAAATTTTACATGACTTTCGAATCACAATATCCCCTTTGGGATGTACAGACACCGATATCATTAACTATTTGACTACTCAACTCACAGTCACACACTACACGAACTGCCAAATCTTCACGTGGATCTGCGAAGGTGGGAAAATGCCAAGAGCGGGACATCCTTTAATCGACCCCGAGAGAACTATCAACGACTTGTTACTCATCTGGAACGTCAGAAAACCAGCAGATAAGAATGAGACAAAGATCTCAAAGATCTCAACGACAATCGTCTCGAGCTATTCGACAGAGGAGAGTGTGTGTCAATTCAATGAGAGGAGTATAAAACAGTTGACGCAAATATACTATGCATTACGTCCTTTGAAGTTCTCTGAGAAAGGGGTATCCGTCGATTTAATTATGATGTTACTCTCGCCGACTATTAAAAAGGCTATTTTGGTTCCTTTAACTCAATTGATCACTACAAAAGGGTTACACGACAACTACAAGACTTTTTTCATAGCACTGGCGTTCACGTGCAAAGATACGACCGACGAGAAATTCAAATTTATTCGAGAAGTCCTCAACCCCCCGGTCATAGGCACTTCAGTTGAGTTAAAAAGTGACTTAAAGAGTGAATTACAGGTAACTCAAACACTTCAAAAGAAGACAGTCGACTTGAACTTTGTGATGCCATTCATCGACGCGTTTTGTACGTTCTCGTCGACTATTAAAGAGTCGATTGGAGACGATAGAGAGCCCACCGATGCGAAAGAATCTGTCAAGGACTTCATTCTGCGACTTGTTTCGAAGTTGGGCGAGTACTTTGCATACACCGACTTTGAGAACTCGATGAAAGGAGATGCTGGGATTAACATGGAGATCGAGCAGATGAGTCAGGCGATGTCTGTTCTTCACGGCGGGTTACCTAAAAAGATTGAGACGGAGGCGCAGGTGTTTAAGATATATATCAACATGTATGATGTAGCGAAGATGCGAGCGGGGGAGAGAGTAGTGGTGATACCTGCGAATTGGTTTTCGAAGTGGATGATCATGTTAAACTCGAAGACGCGGGAGCCTTTAGGGCGGATTGACTTCACCTCGATAGTCGACGAGAAGATTCCGATGGCTTTAAAAGAGTCAGTGAAGGAGAGTGATGTTGTTGCGTTACACCCTGAAGTGTTTTCAGCGATTGACACGTGGTACAAACATGAAGGGGCGTTCATAGAGAGACGACTGTATTTAGACGAAGAGAACAAAGTCAAAGTCGAGTTGTTTCCTTTGAGACTTCAAGCGTTTTCGCACTTGAAAGGGGCGCTGACAATTCCAGTAAGGAATTTAAATGCGTATGCGGCGTATAACGATTTTATCGTCATCTCGAAGTACGCAAGTCTCGTTGAATTACACAAAGCGCTGTGCATTCGATTTAAAGTGCCATTTAATAAGGCAAGAATACTCATGTTTGACGCGAATAAGACGCCTCTTATAGTCCAATTAGGCGAAGGAATGCTAGTAAAGGAGTACTTCAAAGACCTCGACTTTGTCTGTTTACAGTCGGTCAGTGTGAAATTGGAAGCGCAAAATGTGGATACAGAAACGCCGATTGGAGTCTCTGGAGGAGAGGTGGGCTTTTATAACGAAGGCAACACGTGTTATATCAATTCAGTGATACAAGTCTTGGCACACACCCCACTCTTTGCACTCTATTTCTTGTCGAATGAGGTAAAGAAGGACTTAATCAATGGTCCTCTGTATTCAGTAGGTCTTGGATTCTCTAATTTGCTGTATAAAATGTGGAAACCGACACGAGAACCGACCGTCATTTCGATGAGTCAATATAGAGAAACGATGATCAACGCGACTTCGAAATTCAATGACAAAGAACAGCACGACGCGATGGAGTATTTGTGTTATATGTTACTCTATCTGCACGACTCGGTGAATAGACGGAGGAACCCAAATTATATTGAAATGCACTCACAACAACTGCAACGAGAGAAACAACAGAATCAGCGAGTTGCAGACAGCGCAGAACATCAGAAGATGTTGAATGAGAATCACTCACAAGTCTCAGAGAATACGACGACAAAAACGAACGAAGAACTTAAAGACAAATCATCGAAGGATTCAACAGGTGCTAAAGAGGCGGAGGACATCATTGCGAAAGACTTAGTAGCAGGCGTGTTAAAGGAACAACCCAATGACGATCAACGTCCTCTCCAAAGTCCTTTAGAAAGTCCTCCAAATAAAGAAGAAGTCATTAAAGAACGTCTGAAAGAGCGAATGGATGAAGAGAAGAGCTGGAATGACTTTACTGAAGTGAATGAGTCTATAATTAGTGAGACGACGACAGTAATGCTTAAGAACGAAATCTGCTGTAGTGTCTGCCAAACAAAGAAAGTCAACTTTGAACCGACGAACGCACTGAGCATCCCATTGACAAGCGAAATGTATCGAACCGTCGAGTTTATAGTAGTTGGCATGGATGGGCAGTTACCGATCAAATACTCCTTACGACTTCCCCCAGAGACGTTACTGAAAGAAGTCAAAGCACAGATAGCGACACTCAGCGGAGTGCAGACGACACATTTGGTCTTCACGGATGCGCCGGGGGGAGTTGTGAAAGACATCTTGAAAGATTCGATGTCGATGCGGGAGTTACCGAAGACAGTCAAAGTGTTTGAAGTTGAACGGGTCAATACAGTTAATCCACAAGAGAAGTGCATCAACTCTGTAGTGACGAAAAGAGTCAAGAAGAACGCAGGGAACTTGTTTGGGACGGAGATGGAGGAAGTCACGATACCGTCGAGCTCGCTCACTCCGTTGATCGATGCTGACAATGAAAGAGATCCGGACGGTGTTGTTATAGTCAACTGCATCAACAGAATCTCTTCGGAGAACGCCGTTTACTTTGTACACAAATTTACTGGACGAGTCGTCTCCGTCCCGTTCCTCTTGACGTTGTCGTATAAAGATTTGACAGTGAAGAATATCGAAAAGGTCATCTTAAGGCACTTGAGACTGGCTATGAGAAAAGTGAATGAGAAGACAGAGACACAGAAAGGGGACGAGACTACCTCTCAAGTACCACAAAGAGGAAATGAAGACACTTCACAGATTACACAACTGGACTCGTTCTGTGTCGAAGACATGAAAGAGGAGGAATTGCCGTTCGACTTACACGTCACCTCTTATGATGGGAAGAACTGTTACTTGTGTTCGTGGGAGAAGGGGTGTATCGGGTGTAAGTTAACACAAGACATATTAGACAAGTACGACTTCAGTAAATTCACTTTCACCGTCTGCATCGATTGGAAGAAGGACAACACTATAAGATATGACCAGTTTGTTTCCATTACTAGTATAAATACTATCATTATATGGTATTCTCTATCATACTTTTATTACTAGTATTAATACTATTATTATATGGTATTATACATAAATAGTATTTTTATTATGATTAATAGTAGTGATACTATTAATTTTACTATTGTTATATTACTAGTATTTTTTAACTAGTAATATAATACCAATAGTCTAAGTATGAAACAAGAAGGTAGAAGAGAGAGTAACACACAGATCAATTGCAGATGTCATGTTACGAGACCCATCTGTTGAAAGGAATCGCCAAATCGAACGACTTCCGATAGACATCAAAGACTGTTTTGCACTGTTCACATCGCCGGAAGAGTTGGGGATAGAGAACGGATGGTTCTGTCCACATTGCAAAGCAATGCAAGTGGCGAAGAAACGGATAGTCATTGATTCGTTGCCGATTTATCTCATCGTCCATCTGAACAGATTCACCGAAGTTGCAGGGAGCTGGTCGAAGAGAATGACCGATGTCAAATACCCATTAAAAGGATTTTCCATTCAGAAGTATTTGGATTCCTCAGTCAAATGTGACGAAAATGACGTCTACGATTTGTTTGGCGTCATCAATCACAATGGGACACTTGTGGCGGGACATTATACTGCAATGTGTACTTCACAAGATGGAAGATGGCTCAAATTCGATGACAAAACCGTCTCCCAAATACATGAAAACGCCGTTGTCAATGAGAACGCTTATATACTCTTTTACATGAGACGAAATGCAGACGTCGGTGAGGTCATGCGAAAGTTTAATTTTAACGCAAACATGGACTTACTTAACCAGAGCTGTGTCATCGTCTAATTAATTACTGTGGAATTGATTTGATCTGTTGCAACCTTAAGAAAATTGAGTGTAACGTGTTAATACGTATTTGTAAGATACTATTGGTCGGATATTATTACTATATAATAATAGTAATAATAATAATAATATAATTATAAATTTTAATTGAATAATACTATAATATATATATTTATATAAATATAATAATAATAATTTAATTATTTATTATAGAAATGTTATTAAAAGAATAACTTAAAAAAGAGATCAACTCAAAAAGTGATGATAGTTGTCTTTGTATGTGTAATCACATTGTCGCAGAGTTTTAAGTGCGAGACGATTGATCTTACGATTCCGGATTCTTACGTCAATGACTATTATTGTGACTGTCCTGATGGGAGTGATGAACGACAAACTGGATTCTGCCCGGGCACTATCTTTAAGTGCGAGAACGTCGGATCGACATCAAAGGAGATTGACTCTCGTTTTGTTGGTGATGGGATATGTGACTGCTGTGATGGATCTGACGAGGCACAAGGTGTTTGTGCGAACAGATGCAAAGAAGAGACCCAAGGACACATAGATGAAGTGGATAAGGAGATTAAGACTATAGAGTCGTTCATACAATTTAATAGGAACTACCAGAGTGAAGGCAAAAAGACGAGAGAACACCTTCAGCAGACTCTTAATGACAAGAAGACTGAAATTGAAAGGATGAAGGAAGAGAAGGTCGTCGAGACGTTGGACGAGGAAATTAACAAGATCAAAGAGGACATCGAACATGCGAAGACGCAGCACGAGGAACGGTTGGACCAATTGGAAGACGAATACAAAGACGTGTTAGAGAAAAACAACACACAGAACAAAACAGAAGACGTGAAAGAGGAAATCGAACACAGTGGAGATCAGTTGGAGACAAACAAGACGACCGAGAAAGAAAAGACTGAAGAGGAACTTCGACTCGAGGAGTATCATAGTAAAGTCGACGAAGAAAAGAAGACCTTTGAAGAAGACAAAAGAACCAAAGAGAAAGAAAAGATGGAGAAAGAGAAGAAGCAGCGTGACAGGAAATCGGAAATCGAAAAGGCAGAGAAGACTCTTTGGGAGGTGGAACAAAAACAAAAGGCTAAAGTCCCGCTGAACTACTGCGACGATTTCTTCTTCATGAATGAACTCACAAACAATAGATATAAACTCTACTACGGATTTAATGTCACACAGAATGGGAACATCAATATCGGGTTTGTTTTCTTTGTTATGTGTTAATTAGAAAGAGGTATGTGTCACATAACAAGTATTTACTTGTTATTATAGTTACTTACTAGTAAATACTAGTTAGTTATTAATATAATTATTAATATAATTATTAATATAATTATTAACATAATTATTAACTAGTATTTACCATTATTTAGTTATTATTATTATTATTATTATTATTATTATTATTATTATTATTATTATTATTATTATTATTATTATTATTATAGTAACTAACTAGTAGAAGCTATGACAGAACAACAGAAGAAGGAGACGTGTATATCAATGGGGATATCTGCAAAGTTGGAACCCTTGAAATCATTCGAAGTGCGACTGTGAGCAAAAGGTGTGGAGCGAAGCCTGAGATTATTAGCGCTGAGGAGCCTGAGACTTGCAAATACAAAATAGTGATTAATACGCCGTGTGCATGCACAGAAGAGTCTTTGACAGATTTGGTATCAAAGAAGAGCAAACTTGAAGCCGTTCGAGATCGCAAGATATAATTTGCTTTGTTAGTGGTGTTCTTTCTATCAAGACGAAGAAGTCTACCATTAGCTCTACGTATAGTTAAATTTAGTATTAATAAATAGTAAAGCATTTTCAACTGAGAAGACCACAAAGAGAATGGAAGAAGGAGAGGGTGTTCGAGTGAATAAATACGACCCGAAGACATATCGAATATTAAAGGGATTACAAGACAAATACCCCTTCTTAAACTTCTTTTATAAAAACATCCCTGAACTCACGACGGAGAGCATGAGGGTAACGCGCGACAAATTTTTTTATGGAGCAATTGGGATGTTGGTTGTTGTCATTGTCATTGTGGTGATGACTATCCACTCATTGTTGACCTTTGAAGAGAACCCGGAGAACTCGTTTGTACAAAACTTGGGGTATGTCTATTACTATACACTGGTGATCGCTTACTTCTTGCCAATTTATCATATCTTGGTTTTCTTTTTGAACTTAGCGTGGATTTACTTCAAATTTAATTGAATACTGAATTAAAATTGTATCGTCGGGAGTAGCACTTCATCTCCTTTTGTATCATTTAAGATTATTCATTGTATTAGAGTCATATGGTTCTTGAGTTATTTAAATATGTATTATAATAAGAAATTTTGGATAAGCATTTGTGGTCTAAGGGCAGAATTCCACCCTTCCAAGGTGGAGATCCGGGTTCGAGTCCCGGCAAATGCATTTTTCGAAACAAACTTTTTTAATAAAAAAACATACTCACATTATTTTAAATAATATATTAAATAATATATTATTTACTATTGTTTTTGTAATAATGTTAATAATAAATTAATTGTTTAAACTCAAAATTAATAATATATAATGGCTATTAACTCACCTTGGCATAAAGTAACTCACTTTAACTATTCAAAATTAAATATTCGTCCTTTTACAATAAAACAAACTATACTCATCAAAAAAAACTATGTTTAGTATATCCATAGTTCAACAACTATATAAAGTTTGTAAAATTTATTTAAAAAATAAACCATAATTAACTATATTTATAATACTCGAAAAAAGAAAATAAAATAAATGGTAAAGAAAAAATTTATTTGGTACAAATAGTATCCAAAACAACAATATTAAAAATTTGACAAAATTTACATTTATCAATTCAAATTAAATCATTTTGAGTTGTTGTACAATTTTGTTATAAACTATTGGGCAACAAATTTAATATATTTAATATATATATGTGTTTATATTTTTATCCAAAATACTATTATGCCCAAACAGATACATATTATTTAATTTGGTGGAATCATTTTCGTTGTTAGTATGAAGTTACATGTTTAAAAGTTTTAATGTTTTATTTAAATTGTATTATATTTTTCATAAAAGTGTGAAAGTAAACAGTAATTTTTTATGAATTATTTTTATAAAATCGTCAACAAGTAATAATTAAATTTGTTTTTATTTTACTTTGATAATTGTTGTGATGTTAAAGAAATACAATGGTTTCATTTTGTGTGTTGTAAGATGAAAAAAAATATTATGATAAGCAAGTAAAAATAAAACAATAAATAACACTTGTCTATAATTGTTAACATAAGTTGCTGTATTATATTTGTGAATAACGACGCAATGACTAAAATTAAAAAAAAGTAATAAACTACGACAAATTCTTAAAGATTTTTCATTGAACAAACGAAATGTCACAATTATTAAACATAAGCTCCAATCAGAAATTAAATTATTTATCTCTTAATATTTTATCAAAAAAAATATCAATAAAAAAATTAACACAAATGTTTATCTTTATTTACACATTCAAAGGTTTTGTAATGCACTAACTTTGTTTTTTCAATTAATTAAAAGGTATACAACTTAGAGACAACTTTAAATGTGTAAAACTATACATATGTTAATCGACTTCATTTTTTAAATCACATTTTTAATAATTAACGTAATTAAAATAATTTCATCATAGAAATTAATCAATACAACCTAATTAATTATTTTCATTGTTTGTGTTGTTGTTAAAATTTACATGATATTTTGGTTATAAACATTACTCGGCTGTTTAATGTCGTGTTCATCATATACTCTAATAAGTTATTATTCCGACATCTTAACATTTTACATGATTAAATTTTTATATATTAAGTTGTGTTTGTAGTTAAAGTGTACTTTATTGATAATGTGTCTTTGTTATTCGTAGTTTTATTGTATGTATTGTTGTAATTAATAAACAATTAAACCAGTTGTTTGGGTTATGACAAACGTATGTAATTGTTCTTGATGACGAAAAACATTTTTATCATTTTGGTTTTATATTATTCAATGTTTTTACTTTAAAATATTGTTTGTTTAATTCAAATATCTTTAATACAAAACTCATTTATTATTTATTGTATTTTTATTGATTGTTCAAAACAAAAAATAATACATTTTTTAAAAATGTAATATAATTAATTCAAATGTGTAACAACACATTCACTTCGTTGAATTTGTATGGCGATATCTTTCGTGTTGACAACTATATAATTATTTAACGTAATGAGTATTGTTTTTAAAACAATTAATCGATTTGTTTATATTTTTTTTCATTTATAAAAACTTTAATTTAATAACAAAAATAATTTAAGTAAGTCAAAATGTTATTTGTTTTTGTTATTTATTTTTGTTTTTTCATCACAATCCAGATATGAATTATTTTGATTAATGGCAAATTTGCCCAAATGGTCAAGTTTTTGATTGAGTGGATACTTATATAGTAATTTAAATTAAAACTATATTTTATTATTTTGAAGAAATTTTATTTTATTATTTAAAAAACCATTAAAATAGTAAATTATTTTTTAAGTGAGTTACTTTTATAAAAGTGAGTCAAAAGCGAAGTAGTGAGTCATTATTTGACAAGTGAGTTTTAAAAGTGAGAGGTGAGTTAATAGCCATAAATTATAAAATATTTTGGTTTTTTAATTATTTATTTTTGATAGTAAATTTAATTAACATATTTATTATATTTTTTAATTAATTATTAATTCATTTTTTAGAAAAAAATTTATTAAGAAAAAGATAAATTAAATTATTATAAACTGGTTTTATTTTGTTTTTGTTTTTGAATATAATAAAATATAAAAATTTTTTATAGTTATTTGATATAAGGAAAATTTATTATCATATTAATTATTTTATCAGTTTTTGATAAATAACATTTATTTTTGAAAACAAAACTCAAACGATTCTATTTTATAATTATTGAGAACTTTTAATTATTCCTCAATCTCCTTTAATTTAATATGTGTGGAAGTTTTAGTGCTTTTTAATAGCTATACTTATATAGTAAAAAACATATAAAAATTTACATCTTAATAAGTTAATAAAAAAATTGTCCAATTTATTTTTTTCCCGATACTTTCTTAATAAAACGGCCGATATACCATTATTTTTTAGGAACTAAAACGTCCATTATAAAAATAGTAAAATTTGTAGTAATATATAATAAACTTCTAGTAAAAAGTGATTTTTTAAACGATAATTTAAAAGAGAAAAAGTCAAGAAAAAAAGTGACAAGGATGATCACGAAACTGGAAAGAGACGTCATGTCAGAGAGCGAGACCACTGAGAATACCGAAGAAGAAATCACCACAAAACGCAGTGAACAACGTACATGTGAGAATAAGCAGACCAACGCGTTGTTGTATTTGGTGTTGAAAGAGGGCTACAAGCTGATTTTCCCGAAGACAAAGAAAGAGAATTCGTATCACAAATGTATCACTGTAGAAAGCTTTGACGAGCACTTTGATTATGAGGCGATCACACAGCTTGGGATCGAGTTCGATGCGATTGTAAAAAAGAGGATGGAAAAGAATGGCAACGTCAAAGAAGTCACTTTAGATGCAAAGGATCTCTTTGAAGATGGGTCTGGCTATGTCTCCGAAGACAACTCAAATGATGTGAAGAAGGAATTAGAGAACCTTCCAACTCCCTTCGAGTAAGAATTTGTAATACATTTTTAATTGATTTGTTCAATCAATTTTACATAGAAACTTGATACTTGTTCTTGATAATCTTCTATTTGTTTATATACTATATATACAATGTCTATTATCCATCTTATAATGAATGGTGCGATTTTAAATTATTCTTTTTAGCTTTTTTATTATAAATTACTATAAGCTCTTAGATTGGGAGTAATAATATTTTTACTTACAAGTAACTTTAATATTTGAATGGGTTCACAATGTTAGTATAACCAGTCATTGTGAACTGGTTATAGGAGCCTATTAACTGTCATGAACTGTTAGTTTACTTCTGAATACCTGTTAGAGATTGTTTTTTATTTTCAAACAAAATCTTAGTCAAATTTCTTATATAATGATAATATAAATATCTAAGATATTTTAATATATCAAACATTTAAGATTTTGATTCATCAAACGACTCGAACTCTTAGATTTTAAATTTGACGAATATTATTATTATTATTATTATTATTATTATTATAAAATTAAAAAGAAAACCATATGAAACAACGGCTAACAACATTCATAAATTTTAACTGACTTGATAAATATAAAGTCTTTTGTAGTTAAAATATTGTTCCCCACAGAGTGCATTACTTTTGTTGTGGTAGTCGAACATCGTCTGACACGAGAACGACCGTGACGCATCAATTTGTTTCATGATGGCCAAGTCTGTTTTTGGGAAGAAGGAGTCGTACCCGAATGCGAAGAGGATTCCGCCCTCTTTTTTGAATGCGACAAAATTTTGTGTTTGGTTATTTTTTGTTCTGAAGATTTCGATTTGTTTCTTCTTTTTTGCAGTGAGAGTGAACAGAAAAGCTTTATTTGTATTGATCATGACTACCCAATCGGTGATTTTGACGCCTAAAAACCCTCCAAAAATAGATCCTGAAGTGTCGACGACGATAAATAAAAGATTCGACTTTTTTAATAAGATCTGTGGGATGTCTAAGATCTGAGTTGGGTCCACACTTCTCCCGGTGTCTGCCAGTAATGTGAATGTATACTTTTCCTTCATAGCAATACTGTTTGCAAGATCAGCAATATCTTTGTGATGGAACAACTCGTCCAAATGGGTATTGATGATGATCGAACTCGGGTCGAGTGTATTCACGTAATTCATTTTAGTGTCGATGTCGTTTTGAATTTCTTTTTTTCGAAGGCCGACCAGTCGCTTTTGTTCTTCAATTTGAGAAAACAGCAGAATTTTTGATTCTTCGAGTTTTTGGAGTTCAGTGGCCTTTGCACGACTCAAATTGTTTTTTTCTTGTGTAAATTTGGTCACCAATTCTTGAAGAGAATTATTCGCTTTTTCTTCCTCTTCTTTTTGTTTTCTTTGGTACTCCGCTTCAATCGCCTCTTTTTGTTTGTCATAGTCCGCCAACGCAACTTTGACTCGTTCTTCTTCATTTCTTGATAACGCACTTTTAATCTTCTCGAAGTCGTGGACCCCCAAAAAGTCGTCTTTGGACTTCAATAAGTCGTTCAAGTGTTTCACTGTTTTTGTAATATTAGCAGAAAGAGTTATTGCTTGGAGCATTTGTGTTTCGATCATTTTTTTCCTTTGCAACGCCTCGTCTGTAATTTCAAAAATTTGTTCTAATGTGGTTAAATTTGGCTGGACGTTATCTGTATTTAACCCTAATACCGTAGTCTTAATAGTATTTAGATAATCCATATAATAGCCACAATCTACTGTCAGACCGTTGACTGTCGTGTTAAGCTTTTGGCTTTGCTCTTTAATTAAGTCACAGTCCGACAGTGGTCCAATCCATTCTTGTTCCGACATTCATTTTTTAAGTTGAGACGGTCTTGGGTTTCATTCGACGAATCAAATGATGTGGCAAAAATTGAATTAAACTATTATTTGTTAACTCTTAACTATTAAATTCTAGAAAATTTTTTTAAAAGTCTAGAAGCATATGAAAGTGTTTGATATGGTGTTTATCAATTTTATTGTATCAATATTTATAATACAATTAATCATAATTAATAGTTTCATTTTTTTTTGTTTATTAAAAAAAATCATTTACATATTTATATCAATTTTTTTTTAAAATATTCAAATAAATTTTATTTGATAATTTCGCTCTTTTTTTTGATATAACAATTTAATAATTTTCTATTATTTTTGGATAGTAAAAAAGAATTGAAAACTACTTAAAACTGATTAAATTCCGATTTTTTCTTTTTGATGAGCAAGAAATAGACTAGAAGACCAGAGACCACTATAATCAATATGACCAATATTAACACAGTCAAAACTATTCCAGTTATAGCACCACCACTCAACCCATTATGTGTATTGTCTGAAGACTCTATATTGTCACTTGATGTGTTATTAGAATATTCACTCTCCTCACTTGAGTCTCCACTCGACTTACTCTCGTTACTATTATTACTAGTAACTGAACTATTATCTAAATCATTAGAACTCTCTTGACTGTTTGAAGACGACACTGACTCACTTCCATCCGAACTTGTGCTTTGTGATGAACTACTGTCTTCACCACTCTGACTACTTGACTCTTCATCACTTGAATTGTTCGAATCAGTTGATTGACGACTGGCGTCACTTTGTTCGTCTGAAGAGGGACTTGGAGAGCCCGATGAAATTACAGTAGAAGAAGACAAACTTTGTTCCGAAGACTCGCTTGGTGTTTCTGAAGGTTCGTCAGCAACGCATGTGAATCCGTTGTCATATTTCACCGTCGCGCAATCACCAGTAGAACCCACTGTTAGTGTGCTGTCCACTACACTACACATCTTCCCATTTGTCGCCTTAATTGTGACCTCGACGCTTTCGGCTTGTATCAATTTAATGTCTGCGCTTGTTGAAAGAACCATTTTATTGTTGTTTGTAAATTGAATGTCGCCACTTGTTATGTTAGTTGCAGTCACTTTACCATTGTCACTAGTTAAAACTATCAAAGTGTATGCATTTTCAAGTGCAGAGATCTTCACATCATCACCACTTGTAGTTGTAACAATTTTGATGTATGGAGCGGTAGAAGTTGTTACAAACACTTTACCGATATAACCATATAAAGTGAAAGAAGTTGTCGAATTGATTGCTAAATCCATGTTGATTTTGTTGGTGTCACATGTGATCTGCGATGATGTCGCACCTTTACATTTGATATAATAATTCACTTCTCCACACATCTTTTGTTCAAACTCGTTTGTGTTGATCAACTCTAAATCATTTCCTGAGTAAGTCACGTCGCACATGTTATCAAAGGTCTCTGTGTTTTTCACTTGGAACTTCCCAGTAAATCCAATAGTGTTTGCACTTTGGGATGGAGCGTTTTTATACAACACAACATATTTGAGATCTTCGGAATTTGTGAAAGATATTTTGGAATCTCCAATATGGAAAATTAGGTCGTCAACATCATTTCCAAGTGCTACTTTTTTTGTAAAGTTTCCTTGTAATTGGATTTCAAAAGTCCCTTTAAAAAAGTAGTATTTCACATTCGAAAATCCTTTTGATCTTTTGACTATAATTGTCTTTGCAGTACATTCAGAAGTGCTCGAACCAAAGTCTACAAAAGAATCGACATCCTCAAGTGTGATGGTCTCATATGGGATATTGTCTATTTGTATATGTCTATAACTGTAAGTAACACCTTGAGTCTCGGGACACGCTCCAGTTCCTTCATAAAAGTGTCCATCATTATTAAAGTCACAAAAGTCTGCACTGAGTGTGGCAATTAAAAAGAATAGATAAAACATCAACTGATTATTTTGATATGTGAAATCCTTATATTCGGATTTTGTCGTTGTAAAATGAAATGGGTTCTACTGAATTTTCAAAAGGAAAAATAAACATTTTAAAGTATATTACATTTGAACTTATCCAGTTTATTACGTAATTATTCTTGAACTAAAAAACAGAAAATATTTAAGAAATTATTGAAAATATAGACTGCAAATTCTTATTCAAAACAATTTATCGAAGAAATTTTTGGTTTTTTATTATAAAAAATAAATTAAATTTTATAATTGTTTTTATTAATAATTTATAGTTTTAATCAAAAATCGAATTTTTTATTCACAAAAAATAACCAAAAATGAATATAATACATTTAATTATAATATATGATACATTTATATTACATTTTTTTTAAATTAAAAAAACTATGTTGTAAAAATTTCAAAGAATTATCAAAAGGAAAAAAAATAATCAGAATACATGTTATGATATTATTATTATAATATAATTATTATTATATTTTACTGATAAAATAATTAAATGGTTTCTGAATTTTTAAAATGGTAGATTTATTTTTCAACATGAAATCAGTTTGCTACAAACTTTTATTTATAATATTTTTTAGAAAATATATAAAAATTTAAACCCGTATTTTTACATCAATTAATCTTCAATTTACTCAAGACTCATTGAATGCTTTATCTGTATTTTTATTTTGTAAAAGCTGAAGTCAGTCTTTATTAACAAGACAAACATCAAAGCAATAAGTTTGTTATAGTTATTAATAAAAAATTATATAATTTGTAATTTTTTTAATTACCTATAATTAAAATGTTACTAATGCAATTCAAATGACAAAAAGTAATTATATTACTTAAATTAGCACATTTCTATCGCTTTACATTTTTGAAATACAGATACCTGAAAAACCGACCGGCAAACTATAAAAATGGTTTCTAAAAACTATTAAATAGTTTTTTCAATGTAACATTTAAAAAAAAGGACAAAAAACAAAAAACAATAATTTACTATAAATTTATGGTTTGCCGGTTGTTTTTTCTGTGCCGGACTATTTTTCGGGTATCTGTAATTGGAAAAAAAATGTTTACCAAAAATAAAAATTCAAATTTTGATTTGATATTTTCATATTTCTATATAAAAAAATTTTGTCACATATTAATTGAAGAACTATATGTATAGAATTTGTCATTTGAAATAATAATGTTTTTCATTTAACTTATCACATGTGTATTATTTTTCAAAAAATTACAATAATTAATTTTATTATTTTATAAAAAATAATTGTTGAAATAATATTAATAAAAAGTAATAAAAATATAATAAAAATATAATAAAAATTTATAAAAAAATCAAACATTAACTTTGTTTTTAAAACGATATTTTAGTTAATCAATAGGTTTGAGTGTTTAATCCTCATTAATTGTAATAATGAACAACAAACAAAGAAATACTTACAATTACTATGCGCTTATTTTCCAATGAGGTTTTGGAGTTGTTGATTATCCTTTTCAAAAAGCACACTTGGCTTTTCGTTTATAGCCTTTTCCAAAAAGTTGTTAATTCTTTTTCCATAGAAAGCAATATCGTCGCCGTCGAAAAAGTCACCATTGACACACTCAATTGAGTCTATAAATTCTAAGACAAGCCCACCAGTTTTCCGTTTTTCAAATTTAGTTCTGTTGAAGTACCCAATTTCACTCAAAATGTCGTTTAAAAGGAAGTTTGTTTGTTTCAATCGATTTTTTTTCAAACGTTCGTTTGCAGTACTTTCTTTAACACCTTGACTCATTTCAAGTGATTTTATACACCCAATTTTGTCTTCAATCAATTGAGAAAAGAGTATGGAATCGTTCATTGAAAATGTGATTTGTGCAATACATAAAAAAGGAAGAGTGACAGAACTTTTCACACTCCGACGCTTAATGAGTACATCTGCATGCCGATTTATTAAAGCAATAAAAACAGACTCTTCCATAACAAGTTGATTTGTCAAGTCTTTGTATTGACGAAAATCACAATGAGTTATATGAGGTTTTGACATGGACAATTAGAGAATGTTTAATTTCAGTTGAAAAATAGGAATCGTTTTTTGGTTACTTTAATAATTTGGAAGTTTTGTTATTTTTATAATTGGCAACATAATTGTCCATTCTCGAATTATAGAATAAATTATTTTATTAGTAAAGTGTTGAAAATTGGTTGAAATTTTATGAAAGTATTTTTGCATTTTACTTGTAGAGGTTTGACAAACTTTTCGGTGTTTTAGTGTTTAAAAATAACTTCTATTGGACATTTTTATATTGAAATTTTTCATATTTCAAAAGAGTGAGAAAGAAAAGCAAATTTTGTCATATGAAGATAAAAAACAACAATTTATAAACAATAATAAACACCTTATACCAAAACAACTAAAATTACTCTGAAGTTGAATAATCAAAATAACCGTCTTGACTGGCACTTTTTATGTCAAGAAAAAATAGATAATATCTTTTTAAGTTCATTTGTTCGTTAACAAGAAGAACATTAATTAAAAATTATTTAAATATATTATTTAAAAACACAAAGAAAAAATAATATCAATGGATAATTGTATAAATGAATGTTAACATGATTTGTTATTTATTTTAAACAAGAGAGTATTTTGTCAATACAAAACTTAAGATTGCTTTTGAAAAAAAAACAAGTATTGGAATTCACTTTGTTGTTGACAAGGACTTTTTTCAAATTGTTTGTATTCAACAATTCAAATTTTTTAGAACATTTTTGTTTTGAAAAGTGTATAAAAATGTTTTAAATATTAATATTTTAAATGAATTCCATAGAAAATGTTTGAAGAATAATTTGTATGTGAAGATTCTAAGTGAGTCTGTTTAACATAGAACGAATATCAAAAACATGAAATAGTTTATTATATAATAATAATTAAATAATAAATAGTTTATATTAAAACAATAGAATTGAAGTGGTGTGTTAAAAAACGAAGTTTGTTTGTTGTAAAAAATAAGAGTATTATAAAGTTAAACTGTCCAAAAGGTTTGTACAATCAATTATAATTAATAACTTAATAATATTTTTCAACTAGCCAACATATGCCCAAGTAAAGAATAATAAAAAATATTGTTTTTTCATATACATACATTAAGTATTACTTCTCTTATAATACAGTTATGATATTGAAAAAAATTGTTTATATAAATAACAATATAATCAATTACTTCTAAGAAATCTGTAGTCAAATAACTTTGAATATTATAGCAAGTATTACATATATACCATTGTTGAGATTTTTCTTCCTTTCTTGATTGTTAAAAAGATAACAAAGAGACAAATGATTATCAATCGGGTAAAAGAAGAAAAAATAACATTAATTATATCGAGAATTTTATTGACAATTATCATTAATTTTTTTATTAATTCAAATAAGTGTCCAATTAAAAAATAATAAAACTTATCATGAGACCATCTAATAATGAAAATGTGTTGTCTAACTTCTATAAATAACACAACTATTATTGTAAATAGTAAATAAAAAATATAAAAAATGGATCATATTATTTCCTATCAATTTCTTCTTTAATATCCTTAAACACATTTTTGAAATTAACGATCATTGCCTCGACTGCGTCTGTCAAGTAATTCAAGTCACTCACGTATTGTAATTGGTCTATTTTGCTTGGTTTTAATATGTTCTGGACGAATATTCTTGCCAAGTTATTAGGTGTCATCTTATTCACTTTTGAGTTCAAGACGACGATATTGAGGTATTCCATCAAATACCACAAACAGTTTTGATTAATGATAGGAAGTTGAAAAATGACCTTTTTGATCTCATTAACACACTTCTCCTTCTCATTGACTATCTCCCCGCACTTTTTGAATTGATTATAAAACTTAAAAGGTATGACTGGCTCGTCCAATGATCTAAAATAGTCTTTTAAGACATTAGAAGCCACATACACGTCTTCGAAATCAATTTTAGCGCTGTCTTTGTCGTCGTTTAATATCTGATGGAACTTCTCGATCTTTTCCTTCTCACTAGAGAGTCTGAAAATGCCGACTTCCAAGTGCGCCTTGTTATATTTCAAGTACTGAATAGTCCTAAAAATGGGGATTGGATAGCGCCACCCACTCTTTAATATGGCAAGACGTAATGGATACCCATACGTCCCTACAAAGTCCATTTTGAGACCAATTTGAATCAACGCAGTGACAAACTCCTCGGCGTCTTGGAATGAAAAGACGACCTTTTCCTTCTCTGTGTTAATCTGGAATGCGTGCTCTTGTGTATTTTCTGAAACATTAACGTTCACTAATTCTCCATTCCGGTCTAACACAGACTCAGTCGTGTTAATCACTAACTTCACTTTATCTTTCACACGGACTTCGATGGTTGGAAACAATAAGAATAAAGTGCAGTCCGTGTTTTTAGAAACGTCCTTCGTCTTGCGAAACTGACAAAATATTTGAGGAGTAGAACTCATTCAATGGGGCTTTTATACTTTTTTGTTCAGTGTGCAAATATTGTTTTCCTTCGAGTCTTTAGAATTGTTTTTTGTTTTCTATTGGTATTAAAAAAATTAGGTCGCGTTCTATTTTTATAGTTAAAAAATGGGTTGTACTTTTTTCGAAAGAACAACGTGTAAACTAAAGAACACTTTTTATTCAACAAATTTTGGTCAGTTGATATAAATTAAACTGAATTATTGTTATGTTATTGATTTTAAATATCATTGTAATTTACATATTATATGGTTATTCATTATTCCATTATATTATAATTGGGTAGTTTTTTTCTTATTTCAAAATATTATTATTCTGATATTAATATTTTACAATTAAAATATCAATAAGTTATTATATTATATCAATATAAAATATAATATTATTATATATTAATAATATTATAATCATTATATATAATTACTAAAGTCAGTCTGGAAACCTTATTTATTCCAAAAACCTTATTTATCGACAAAAATAGTTTATTTTTTTGTTATTTGGTTTTGTTTTTTAAAATTATTTTTTTCACTTGAAATCTTTGTTTTTTCAATTTAAACGAACTTAGACAAATTGACAAATTTGATTTTTTACGCTCAAACATCGCGTATAACAACAGAGAGTGGTGCTGTTATTGTAAACAGCGGTTGGGCGGATTTTTGTGTGTGAGATGACAAATGCAACACGAGAATTTGACAACAAACAACTTCTATTTAGTTAAATAATTAATAAAAAACAACGAGACAAATCATAATCAAAAAGAACACCACGATTGGCAGACTCAAACATTGAATTGCAGTTCTGCAGTCGGGTTAAAGTTGTTTATAATAAATTGTCTTGGCTGCGTGGACGTCATTTCGCTCTTTGTAAGAGTACATTTAATAAGTCGACTCACGTCTAATAGCAAAAATTCTTCAAAAATGATCTAAAAAACTCAGTTTGTTTTATGTATTTTCCCGTTAATTTGGGGTAATAACACCATCATTACCACCATTTATTGACAAACATAAAAATGAAATGATTGGCTAAATGACTTTAACCCCATTTATGTTTTTGGTTGTGTTATTGGAAAATAGTTTAAATAATAGTAATATTTATTAAGTATCCTAAATTTGCTTTTTTTCAAAGGAAAGTGGAGAAATAACGTTTTTGGATTAAATAAGGTTTCCAGACTGACTTTATTAACTTTTTATAATTATAAAGTGTCTACGAATTAAAAATATTACAGTAGGGGAAATGGACCCGGTACTTTAGAAATGAATCCGAACCTTTAGTAAAAACTCCTAATGATTAGGTCTTCTTCCCGTTGTAATAAATGTGCACAAATTTGAAACGACCAATCATTTTAACCATTTGAAAAAAACTGAAACTTTACAAAATTGTCCAATCAATTTAAACTAATTTCATTTTTCTTTTTTTCAACATTTTTGTTATTTTCTCTCTATATTTCATTGCGCCAAAACACTGTTAAATTACGGGAAATACAGATTTGTAAAAATATGAAATTTGAACATTTTCTATTATAATTAGTGTTAAAAACCTTGTTTATAGAAAATGTTTTTTTATATGGGTATAATCTTTTCGAATTAGCAATCACAAGTAAAATAATTTACTTGTGAATTAAGATTATTTCTTTATCATATCTTAAACTTTGGATTCATGAAAATGGTATTCAACAGTCCAGTGTGTATGGTAACAAATATTGAGGTGGTGAATTATTGTTATTTTATGAAAATATTTAGACAACCTTTGATGAAAATGGACGACTTTACATGTTTACGTTATCCAATATGGCACTATATAATAATTTTATGTTGTAATACCAAATTGTTCATGTTTTATTTCCAAACAGTTTAAAATGTTATTCCATTTTTTGTTTTTAAATATTATATTAAAAAAAATAATTTATTTAAATATAAATAAATATATTTATTTATATTTATAATCTTAATAGTTTTGGATAGCTTTTTTATATATTCAGGGTTAATAAGTGATTAATTAAAAATTATAATCATATAAAGAAAAAATGGAAAAAATTAATTTATTTCATACTGTTTGTTTCATTCGTATCTGTTTTATTAATTCGTTCGTACCCATTAACAAAATAGAAAGCAACAACCAGAGTGATACAAGACCTCTCGAGTAGTATTACTATGAGAGGTGTCTATAACTGGGTTTAAAAACCCAGTTAAAACAATCAAAATTTGCTGCGGCTCGGGATAAGAGTTGATCGACGAGAGAAAGGCATCTCTCTTAAAATTTAAACAAATTGTTGTATTTTTTGTTATTTGGATTTTGTTATTGGTATTTTCTTTTATGAATATTGTTATTGATAAAATGTTATTTGAATTTTTGTTATTTAAATAATGTTATTAAAATAATGTTATTGTCGATTAAGGGTTTTGTCCCAAAAATGTATTTTTTTACCGTTTCACATTTTTTACTAAAGTTGCCCTAATTGTTCTAATGATCCTAGTTCATTTCTCCTACTGTAATAATTTAATTTTACTAATTTAAATTATTATTTTCATACTTTTTATAATAATATTTAATAAATATGATTAATCAATTAATCGATAATAGAATATAACTATTTAATAACATTTTTAAATAAACATGTTTGTTTTTGTTTTTTTTAAATAAAATAATTATTATTGCATTTTTTAATTATTTTAACCAAATTTCCTGTCTAATCCAAAAACTTATGAATATATTAATAATTTATTATAAAACAGAATTAATCTAATTTCAAATAACAAAATATCTATAAAAACTTTTATTTGGTTTTAATTGCATATTACAATTAAACCATTAAAAAACGATTAAGAGAACAATAAAAAACCTTTTATGTAAATAAGAATATAATAGTAATACAAACTATATATTAATAGTAATATTACTGTGTGTTAGGTGAGTATACCATAAAAGATAATATGCCGCACTACTATAAATCCTTTGAAGAACTTTAAACACTGTTTTCAGTGATGACAGTTTGGTTCTTAGTTTAGTGAGTGTAAAATGACATTTCAGTGTTGTGGTGGTAAGTCAGAGACCAAAAAGAGTGATGCCCCTTTATGTGTAGTCGATGCAAACACAATTTCAAGTTCTGCAATTGTTGAGCCAACAATCGACCACATTTTTAAGTACATCATTATAGGGGAAGTATCTGTGGGGAAGTCATGTTTACTGCTTCAGTATGAAGATCATCGTTTTCAACCAATTTATGACTTGACAATTGGCGTCGAATTCGGTACAAAAAACGTCCGAATTCAAGACACAACGGTCAAACTCCAACTGTGGGACACGGTTAGTTCTTTCTAGTATTATTTTATTAGTATACGAAACTATTATATTATTATAAAATAACTATAAAATAAACTAAAATAAAGGCGGGGAGTGAACGGTTCAGAAGCATCACAAGAAGTTATTACCGGGGGGCCGTTGGTGTTATAATGGTCTATGACGTGTCACGCAGTGATAGTTTTAGTAAGATCGATGAATGGGCGGAAGAAGTAAAGAAGTACAATAATGGTAATTACATCATGATGCTTGTTGGGAACAAGTGCGACATAGTCGAGAAGGTGATTTCGACTGAAATGGGAAAGAAAAAAGCCGCGCAACTGAACGCGTCGTTTTACGAAACATCTGCGAAGACCGGAGAAAACGTTGACAAAGTCTTTGACAAACTCACAGAAGACGTGTTAAGGGATGTGAGGTCGGGAAAAATTATTCTCGAGTCAGAGACAAAGTATTAATTTATTTTAGTGGGTGTTTGCTTTTTGGGAGGATATTTATCACAGTTGTATTCCACCATTTTCAATCTTTAATAATCATTAGTCAAAATTAATAACATGGACTTGAACTTTTAAATTATGATTGTTTTTATTGAATTTGATTAAAAGTTGTTATTAATTAAATTAGAAGTGACTATGTAAATTGTTAAGTTGGACAATACACACTTGTATCTTATACTTATAATTAATTTAAGTTTACTGTTATTAAAAAATACATAAGTCAAATAGTTTTCAAATATAAAATGTATTATCAGAAAAACTAATTGATTTTAATATTTTAATAATTTATTATATATATAAATTTGTTAATACAAACAAATTATAAAAAAAGTAATACTTAATTAATAATTGTTTATTATTTATATTTTTATGATTAAAAAACAATTTGTTTTGTCCCCAAAAAATTTTGAACAATCTGTTGAGAATTAAATATTCCATGTTCTATCTTAAAACAAATATAGTATAATTATAAATATTATATTATAAATCAACTATAAAATTTATTTATAATCTTTTTTGAAACAGAACAAATTTTGAAAAAGAAATATCTCAAATATAATAAAAACATATGACAAATTATAAATTATGAAAAATAAATATTATACAAACAAGCAATTTTTTTATTTTGTAATTGTTGAAAATGAAGTTTACTTTTTCAAAAACCTTTTGAAAAAAATTTTGAGTTATAAAATAACAATAATTATATAAATAAAATATAGCATCTTTTCCCGTTTTTTAAAATGTTTTTTGTGTGACTTTTATAAGAATAAAAATTACATTGTTATAAATTCACATAGAAGAATACCGATATTATCAAAAGGCATACAATTTGTCCCAAGTCAAAAAAAACACAAAACACGCCATTTAATAATAATATATTTAACTATTAAAATAGTATGTATTAAGTATACAAAGTATTATTACAAACAAAACATTACATTAAAATGTCGCGAAATACAAAAAAAACACAAACAAACTAGCCCTGAATGGAATCTATATGGTGATCCATTATAATATATATAGTATATTTAATTTTAATTTAAATAAAAAACATGATAGAAGGCAACAGTTAAAAAATAATGAATCTATTCATAAATAAGAAGAGCCAATAAGGAGTTACTCCAAAAATAGAAAGAGGTATAAATTAAAAAAAGACTCTTACCAAATAATCACATCATGTTGATATTGTTATGTGTTACGCTCACGATGAGCTACAATTTGAGATATCCAGCGACTGATAATCCCCAAACTGCAGGTAACGAGTTGTACACTCGTAGTAAGTGTACTACATGTTGTCGTGTTATATTTGCGACGCCATATAACTACGACAACAATCGATTTTTCACCGATGATGACTATAAGACAGACAGAGGAAGAATCTTTGTGATGGATATGGAATTTGATACTATCAATCAAGTTAGTGCTCCAGCTGGTGGATATGAACAGACTATCATGTTAAGACCTTTGGTAGAAGGACGTGAGTTACAATACTTTGAATTTGCATCATACAAAATGTTTACTGTGTATGTCCTCCCAAGAAGAGTCCACGATATTAGAAGAGGTTCTCATGAAAAAAATAGACTCATTATTTGGAGTAAGAATCCCCCTATTGAAGGAGCACCAGGGACGGATAACCAGAGATTTATATATGTCCACCCTTATGACTCCTCTTTCTATACTTCAGCCGTCGAACAAAATTGGAAAGAATATAAACAACACTTCTTCTTAAGATATACCACTGGATCTAATAAACTCTGCTACGAAATTTGTAGAGGAAATGACTTCCAACCAGGAACTGATTATTCAAGTCAAAGAGATTGGCCGGGAGAAGAACAAATGAGAAATGTGGCTTACACTCACCAAATTAAAGCTGCTTATTGTGATGGAGCAAGTCAATACCAAATGTTCATCCCTCTTTACGCTTAATTCTAGTTTATTTCTTATTATTTCATTAGTTATAAATATAACTTTCTATGTATTATTAATTATAAGTAATAATATTATAATATTGATTATTATATTAGGGTGCGCAACCTCGAGAGTAATTTTTCATTTTTATGAAATCTTTTTTTTTCATTGTAAAAAATAGTGAAATATGTCAATTTATTTTTTTATTCATAATAATGAGCAAAATTTGTAAAATCTGTCTTAATATTGAAACGTGTAAACAGTATTTGATTAAAAGTAAATAAACTTTTTATTTGTCTCAAAAGTTGATAAAAAACAAATAATAATTAAATACAACATTTTTGATATTTTGTATTTATTAAAAAACAAATTAGTACGATTGAAAAAAATAAGATACAGTGGTATTCACTTTAGATCCTTTACTCGGCATTTTAAATAATTTTTTATGCATTTTAATAAAACTGTTTTCATAATTTTTATTAATTCGGAAATTATAATAAATTGTATTAACACTTTAAATAAAACAAACGGAAAAAGAGAAAAAAGATTGGAAACAAAATAATTTGAGTTTTACAAATAAATCAAACGGCACGAAAATAAATCAGTCGGAACATTAATAAATATATTCTGCATTTATAATTAATTCACTTATTTTTAAATTATTTCGTCACCAAATCAATTATAGTAAATTTTTATTCAAATAATTATAATGGTTCATATTTTGATTATCGTAACTTGAAATAACACATGAACCGCTCTTCTTTAGAATACATTGATGCTACTGACACCGGGAGTCGCTCAGACTACATTGAAAATGCTCCCGAACCACAACAAGGTGTTCCTTTAAAGGCTCTACACGTTGAACCTTTTTTCCCACCTGACAACACAAAAAAAAAGAAGAGGAAGACTCCCGAAAACAATTGAAGAAAAAGATGACAACAAGAAAAAACCATACAGAACCGTATCTTTAAAGACGAAACAGGAATTGGTCAAGGCATTTAGAACAGCAACAACCATTGACCCGACGCAGTTCTCACTTGATCTTGGTATACCCATAGACAATTGCAAATATCTTGTTAACAAATTGATTAAAGGTGAAAGTATTTACCCTGTTAATCATTATTGCAGAAAGAGCCGCACCACTCCCTTTCAAAAGCTTGTCGGGGCCGCGCTTAAAAATAATCCAACCGATTCTATCGCAAATGTGAGACGCAAAATGGTTGAAGTGCTTGTTGTTGGTAATATACAAGACATCAATGTTGTTGAAACTTTGGATACCGAAATACTAGACAACCTGTCTCAAAAAATAAAAAATATCGAAGATAATTTTGAGACAGCAGAGTTGTTTAAAGAAAAAGTAAAAGAAGCAGAACAGTTAGTGCCTTCGGAGGCTTCATTTTTGAGAATGATAAAAGGTAAAATCATAAATGGAGATGCTGGAGATTTGGGAACACTATCATTCAAAAGAGCAACAAATAGAGGAGCAGCAGCCAACAGCGAAGACACTAAAACAAGACGTATAACCGCGATTCAAGAACTAAATGATAAACTTAACGCGGGTTATACTTGGGTGTGCATAGACGAGACTGCCTGGACAATTGCCTGTACTTCTGTTTATGGATGGTCTCCAGTGGGTAAGAAGTGTTTTTTTAAACTAAACTGAAAGGGGGAATGAGGCTAACTTCCACTGCAGCTATTGATAGTAGTGGTATGGGTCACTGTAACCTTGTGTGTGGGAGTAACGACAAAGAAATATTTAATAGTTATTTCAAAAGACTCATGTCGGTTTATGATGAAACAAAGATACGAGTCGTATTCTGGTGTGATAACTGTTCAATTCATAATGATATTTCAGCTATGGTTAACGGCACCCAACATTGTATCGTTTTCAATGCAGCATATTCACCCGAACTCAATCCTATTGAGAATGTTTTCGGTTTTTGGAAGCGAAGAACAAAGGAAAGCATCAGAAATTGGGAAAATCTTCAAGACATGATTGAAAAAATAAAAAAATCATTTGAAGAAATTCAAGCACATGAAATCAACGCGTCAATGCAGCGGTGCAGAAATGAAATATGGCGACGGCTTTTGCAAGAGAAGATTTATAATTTCTTATTGTTGGCTTTTTGTTAAAAATATTTTAAGTTCAATAAACAAACAATTATTCATTGTTTTGTTATAATTATTTGAATAAAAATTTACTATAATTGATTTGGTGACGAAATAATTTAAAAATAAGTGAATTAATTATAAATGCAGAATATATTTATTAATGTTCCGACTGATTTATTTTCGTGCCGTTTGATTTATTTGTAAAACTCAAATTATTTTGTTTCCAATCTTTTTTCTCTTTTTCCGTTTGTTTTATTTAAAGTGTTAATACAATTTATTATAATTTCCGAATTAATAAAAATTATGAAAACAGTTTTATTAAAATGCATAAAAAATTATTTAAAATGCCGAGTAAAGGATCTAAAGTGAATACCACTGTAACAAAAGAAATTTTTGTTATATAACTTAATAGATAAAAAATTGACAGCAAATTTTATAATTTGGTATAAACAACACATTGTTGTTTTTATTTCCAACTTTATTGTAAAATTCTTTAAAAACAACACAAGCAACAAAATAATGAAATTATTGGACCTAAAAACATTAAGACACCGTTTAAAATGCTATATGAATAATGTAGTAATAAACATGATATACACAAAATAACGAATGAATCAACAATTGATTTTTAAATAAAATGATACGAGTCATTTGTATTTTATTGTATATAAAGACGACTTTGACATTCTATTGATTCAACTAAATACAACAGTTAAAACAAGAAGTTTTCGTTCAAAGAGATCAATTTGTATGTGGTAATAAAAATAAATAATAAAAACAAAGATGATTAATTGTTGAAATGTTTATAAAAAGATTGTTACAACAATCTCTGTATGTTCCAACAACTTACAACCACAAGAGACTATTGTTTTTTTGTTGAAGTTATTAATGTGTATATAATTATCAATGAGCAAAAAAATAAACAAAAAACAAAATAATATAGAAAATTTGATAATTATTATTAAGGAAAGAAATTTGGTGTTGTTTATTTGCTATCGATAATATTGTATTATAATGTTGATAAAACATAAAATGAAACAAGTTTTGGTGGTTATCTCTTCAACAATAAAACGTTTATTTATATCATTGAAAACATTTATTAAAAAATAATAATAATCATGAAAAATCCAAAAAAAGTTGTCAAACAACTTATAATATCATGTGAATGATCAAACTAAATATTTGCATATAAAATATAAAACAAAAGAAACAATATCATTTAATTGTTTTTTTAACTCAATTTATAATTTTGTTGTAGTTTAACAAGTACTGTTTTACCAAATACTGATTTTACTTATATTTTTCCTTGTTTTCTTTTGTTTTTAAATGTCAACAATAATGAAAAGTATTGTTGTTGTCATAATATAAAGTGAATATAACAATTATATGAAGTTGTTGGAAATATTGAAATGATATAATTTATTCGTGGTGGTAAAAAAGCGCAAATATTGGATTTTTAATTAAAATGCTAAATAATTTTGGCATTAACGTTTTAAAGTAAAAAAGTAATTTATAAAACTAAAATGCATTATAACAAAAATAATATTATTTTTTGGCTCATTTTTTTAGCTTTGATTTTTTGGTTGTTATGGCAGATCTTTTAAATAAAATCTCAGATCTCGAGATTTTGAAGATCACGATTAGTTGTAAAAATAAAACAATTAAAGCAAAGTATAATTTTGTGTTGAAAAACGGGCAAACAGCAAATATTTTGTCAACTGTTGCGCACCCTATATTATATGTATTGGTTTAATAGCAATAATTAAATTCTTATAATAATTTAAATTACTTGAGTTTATCAAATTTTAATAAAATTATTATTATTATTTAGTTTTTTTTATAAATTAAATAAGTAATTATTATATTTAATATAAAAAATAATTTAAATTATTTTTCGTAGTAATAAAATGATAGTTTATAATTAACAATAAAAATTTTAATTATTCAAAACTATAAAATGAATTAACAAAATAAAATTAATCTTTTTTAGATAATTAAATTATATAAATAACTAACCAGTTTTTGTACAAAAACAAAATATTGAAACAAAAAAAAAACATTTTTGAGTTTTTTATAAATTTATTTGTTTTTTCAGCTTGAAAAACTATGAGAAAAAAACTTTTTTTTTATTATTTATCAAAAATACATTTGTAAAATCATTTTTTTACAAAAAAAAAAAATGTTTCGAAAATTTTGAAGTATTAATTAATAAAATTATAATAATTATCAATATTAAAATTAACTTTGTTTTTAAATTAAAACTACAATTTCCTCATAGAAATCCCAGAAATTCCAAAACAAAAACGTGAAGAAAAATAAAAAAACTCGAAAAGCACAAAAATGTCATTGAGCTACTACAACTTCGGCGACTTTACACGCTCATTTTTGTTGATCAACCCAGCGTACTTTGCTTCTTTCGGTATTTTTTTCTCTGTTGCATTTTCAGTCCTCGGGGCGGCTTGGGGCATTTTGTTGACTGCTTCCTCATTGATGGGTTCGTCAATTAGAACAACTTTCCGTTCAAAACACCTTATCTCGATTTTGTTCTGCGAGGCGTGTGCTATCTACGGTGTTATTTCTGGTTTTATCTGCTTCGTTTGTTCTTTATCTATTCTATCGTTCTGTCACAACAATCTCATCAATCCCTATCATTTTTTATAACTTTTTATTACTTTCATTTTAGTTTATTAGTTAGCATTATAATATTTTTTAATTATCTTATTATATTGTTTTTTATTAATATTATACATTAATTGGTTAATACTCTAATTATTAAACTATTCCAATCTAGTTCATTTTAAACTATATTTCCTGTTTTTAAATACTATTATTTATAGTAAATACTTTATATTAAACAAATATAACCAAAACAACTATACCATATAATTTACACCGAGATACAATAACAATAGTAAATAACTTATAAAAGTATAGTAAATAACTTAATAGGGAAAATTGAAAGAGACGCCATACCCCGCCTCAGCTGACCAATACAATGCTGGTTACATGATCTTTGGTGCTGGCCTTTCGGTCGGACTTTGCAACTTAGGGAGTGGTGTGAGTGTAGGTGTTGCTGGGAGTGGAGCTGCGTTAGCTGATGCACAGAACTCGTCTCTTTTTGTTAAGATGTTGATTGTCGAGATTTTCGCGTCCGCCCTTGGGTTGTTCGGACTCATCGTCGGTGTTGTGCAAACCGTCCAAGTCAGTTTCAATTGATGTGTTCGCTTCGATAACTGTTATGGTTCTTTTATAATTCTTTTTATTATATTATATAGTATCTAGTTATACAAGTAATAATTAACGAGTGAATTCTATTTAACGAAATCATCTGAGTTTCATGTTAATTATTACTACAATAGAATATCTTTACAAATAAAATAACATTGTTAATTAAATGACAAACAATAAAAAAAAAACTATACAGAATAGAAAAAAGAATTATAATAAACCAACACACCGAAGAATTAGAAACTACTAATAAAAGTATTAAAAACTGGTATTAATAAGCGATGGGCACATTAATTTTGCTCTTCAAGTTTTTGCACCCAAAGAAACAGCCATAGCCGACACTTTGCACTGATTGGGGGAAGTTAATTTCCTCCAAACTTAAACATTTGAAGAAGCAGTAATTTCCGAAGAATTTGACGCCCTCTTGAATAGTTATCTCTTTCAATTGATTGCAGTCGAAGAAACACGCCTCATTGACTTTCTCAGCTTCTTTGTTAATGACCACTTTCTTAAGGTTTTGACATCCACAGAAACACTTCTTACCAAGTCTAAAGGAAATCTCTGCGTGTTCGATCGACTCACATCCTTCAAAACAACTGTCACCGACTTCTTCAATAGTCTGGTGCTTCTTCAATTCATTCAACGAGTAACAATTCATAAAACACTCAGCCGGAAGTTCACGAAGGTTCTCCGGAATGTGAATGTCCATCAGACTTTGACAACTCTTGAAACAGCCGACTCCAAGACTCTCCACGTTGTCATCTAACACTACCTTTCTCAGAAATTGGCAATTCTTGAACGCACAATTTCCAACATGAGTCACCGTAGTTGGTAAGACGACTTCGGGAAGTGCAGTACCTTCAAAAGCACTGCTACCTATCTCATAGAGTCCCTCAGAGAGTTCAACATTCTTCAAGAGAACACACCCAGCAAACACATGTGAAGGGAGACTAGTCACTCCCATCACTGCAGCAGACTTCAGATATATACAATTCGCAAACGCAAAGGCCTCCACAACTTTCGGCCCATCAACCCGCACTTCTCGCAGCTTCGAAGAACTGAACGCCGCATTGGCAAGTGCAAAACAGGCGTTTGCAGTCTTTGGATAAACATCGACTTCTACATTCTCACTCTTCCGTGTCTCCGTCGGTTCATTAAGACTGAAGAAGTCGTCGCGTGTGTACTTTGTGAAGGAAAGCTTCGTCTCCGTTCGACTCGCTAAGAACTCAGGGAGACACGTGTCGAGTTGTGGCACCTCAAACGTCACTTTTAAGACGCCTTTGGGGAAAGCTTGTGGGCCAACGGAAGAGAGTTGGGGATGACCAGTAAAGATTATTGCGATGAGGTTGGAACAGTTGTAGAAACACTTCTCTTCGATCCTCTTGATAGATTGTGGGATGGTAATAGAAGTGATTGACTCTAATCCTGCGTAACATGCTCTTCCTAAAGTATTCACATCAGTGGGGATAGTAATTCCATAGTGAAGTCGATCCGATGAAGTGTATATTATATGAGAACAAGTCACTTTATAATTCTTATATTTGATCTTCTTCTCACAATAAATCGAATATGAAAGGGGACATAAATAGTGTACGTTTTGTACAGTGGGAAGGGGTTTGGAATTGTCCGAAAAAAGATTCTGAGTTATTAAAGTCGTGTGAATATGTGTTAAAGGACTCGGATTGGTTTCAAGCTTGGAGGCATGGGCAAAATAACGCTTTGACACAGTTAATAAATTTAAAAAAGAGATCGCGTCGGGGATGTAACTTATAATATATGGTATAGTATCATTATCTAACATCTTTAATTTTTTCAGTTTGATTCACTTTGTTCGAGAATTTTATAATAAACAATAATTCTTTAAAAAATAGGGGGAATTGTTTTGAATGGTTGATATGTTTAATTTAATTTTTTAGTTTATCTAATACAAATATAATTAGTGGTTTTGAGGAAAAATTTGTTGTAAGATGCTTTTGGTAAGCTCTTTCAATGTTTTCATATTATTTTGTGGAAAAATTGTTAAGTTTTTTAAATAATAATGTATTATTAGTTATTAATAAACTAAATAATAATTTATTTATTATTTAAATAAATAATAAACCTTATTTATCGACAAAAATAATTTATTTTTTTGTTATTTGAATTTGTTTTTCAAATTAATTTTTTTTCTTTTGAAATTTTTGTTTTTTCAACCAAAACGAACTTAAACAAATTGACTGGTTTGATTTTTTAGGTTTGGATGTTGTGTGTAACAACAAAAATGGTGCCGTTGTTGTAAAAATGGTTGGGCAAATCTTTTTGTGTAAAATGATACATACAACACGAAAATTCAACAACAAACAACTTGGATTTCATCAAATAAAAATAAAAAACAACGAGACAAATCATAATTGAAAAGAACACCACGATTGGCAGACTCGAACATCGAATTGCAGTTTAGCAGTCGAGTAAAAGTTGTTCCTTCGAAATAGTCCTTACTATGTGAGTGTCTGTTTGTTCTCCGATGGAGTGTCTTAAATTTGTTAAAAAAGTATTTACACCTTAAAGCCAAATTTTTCAAGAAAATGATCCTAAAAACTCAGTTTGTTAGCGTTATTTTGAGTAATTAACACCATCATTACCACCATTTATTGACAAACATAAAAATGAAATGATTGGCTAAATGACTTTAACCCCATTTATGTTTTTGGTTGTGTTATTGGAAAATAGTTTAAATAATAGTAATATTTATTAATCATACCAAACTTGCTTTTTTTCAGGAAAGTGGAGAAATAACATTTTTAGACTGACTTTTGTATTATTATAATTAAGTATTAAATCAAATTAAATACTATAAATTTTAATTCATTGTGTTGTTGTTTCAAAATATGACAATTTGGAACAATAATTGGTATGATTTTATTATAATAATTAAGTTAAGAATGGTTTTAAATAAACCAAACAATAATAAACTATAATAACAGAAATTTGAATATAATCAAGTCAACGTTTTAACCTTAGCAAGTCAACTGAATCAACTTTTTTTGTGGGAAGGTGAAATCTGGATAAAATTTATCTAGATCATATTTATTTTTAGAACAATTAAAAATAAATTCAAAACACAAAATCGATTAGTTTTCGCGCAAACTACTGGTCTTTACAGACCCATGTTTCCTATTTTCCATGTGTTAAAAATAGTCAATACTTGCTGTTACGAGACATACACATTAATTTTCATGAGAGCGCTTCGATTTTTATCAATTTTTCATTATATAAATTGGTTTGTGACACACCGTTCTTAATTTAAGATCTTTTTAGTTCAAATACAAAAATAAAAAAAGTGACTTATTTTTAGTAAAAAAATCAAGGATATAAATTATCCAGTTTTCACTTCGTAAGGTTAATAGATTAATTATTTCAATATATTTTACTTTATTTAAAAAATTGGTTAAAAGAAAAAAAAACAATTCATTTGTTATAATCTTGTAAATACTATAAAAGAGTAAATGTTTTTTTAAATTGTAATCACAATCATTTTGTAATGGTAGTAAAATAATAATTATAACTAGATATTTAATTTAAAAATAGAGTCATTTGCTAAACGTTGTCTGGTCTGTAACAGTGTCTGCTGTTTTTTAGACCATTATAAATGGAATATTTCGGGAATTTTTTAGAAAAACCCCAAAATCGTTGTTTCAATATTTTTCCCAGTTTTTTTTCATTTTTACCTAATTCCCGTTTTTTTTAAAACAAAAATCAATTATTTTTTGTCAAAAAGACAACGTTTATCGACTGAGATATTATTGTTTTACTAATTGTAATCATAAAATATTGTTTGACTAGTCACTTATTTTTGAAACATTTTAGATTTGAAATTTAAAGAAAAAGTTCAAATTTACAAAAATATATAATTTATAAAATAAACCAAAATGGCACTTATGCCGTTTCAAAACAAAATAATTGTATACTATTGATTAATATAGTTATTTTAAATAAAAAATATATATTAAATTATAAAATAAATTGTTTCAAAAAAAAGAAAATGAATTTTCGATTAATTAAAAATTGTTTGGAAAAGGTTGAAAACTTTTTAAACAAATAATATAATAATATAATTTATATTATTTCAATCTAATTATAAAAAAAATAAAATAATATAATTTTAATTAATTTAACAATTTTAATGAAACTTTTCATTTTTTTATATTGTGAAACTAAATTCACAATAATAATAACGGATATTGAATAATAAAAATTAATTATATTCTTAATTATAAAATAAAAATTTGAAGTATGTAATGAGGTTAATTTTTTATAATTAAAATTTTGTTGTTTTTTCGCTTTTACTAAATAAATCACATTTTTAATAGAATTAACCAAAACATACTTACAAATAATTCCGGATTATCTTTAGACTTTGAATTTTGTTTTTTAAAAAAGACGGAATTCACCAAATTCCATTTTACCAAATATACATAATAATTAACTATACTTAAATGATACAATAATTTTCAAAATTAATTGTTATTAATAAGATAATGAACGAAACAATAAGATATAGTACACTATTATTTTTCTTTAAATGATTTAGATGTCTCTAATGATTGAGCAGCAATTAAATAATTTGAAAAAAAAAATAAAACAAAAAAATTGAAACGCTTTTTCTGCAACCAATTTAATTCAAATGCTGTTTTAATTTTTTTATCAAAAATATACTCAATAATATAGTAATAAACCATATTAAAAATAGTTCAAATAGAAGAGAAAAAAAATTGCATCCCAAAGCGCTTCGAAGTGCCGATCAAATACAAATTTTTAAAAAAATTTTTAAAAAATTTAGTTGTACCCCCTCATTGATTTTTCAGTCGACTTGGCAATCTCGAAAATTGTATTATTACAAGCGTATGGCGACAACAACAGATTTTCAAATTGAGTCGATGACAAGCTGTGCACATCATCTTGTCAATTGTGACGGGTATTCATATAGTGCTCCGATGAACGTGGTGATCTATGACAAACCAAAGAAGACTGAAAAACGGAAGCGCGCGAGTGAGGACGCGTTCAAGAAGATGCGGAACTATCAGGTGTATCAAGAGGCGGTCTTTATCGCCCTTTTAAGCACTTTCTTCGAGATCGTCGTCCGCGCGCCGGTCAAAAAGTCGATAGTTTCCCTTCAACTTCTTCGCGTCGAGGTGATTAGAAGTCTCCGCGACGTCATTAACGTGAACGATTTTGTTATCTCGCGGTGCAAAGAGAAATACAAATTGGACATCAAAGACGGACTTCTGGAGAAAACGGCGAAACGAAGAACCGACACGAATCGAGTGTCCGAACTCCTCCACTTCCTGCAAGACGTGTTAAGAGAACTTGGCTTCGGATTTGTCTCGAAAGTCACTGACGGGAAGAACGGGGCCCAAGTCGTCGAAACCGTCTATGGCATTTTCGGGAACGGAATTGAATTGGATCAGAAAGACATCATTGAAAAGGGGAAGAAAATTAATGATTTCTTAAATAAACGACTTGGGGGGATGGCAAATCTGGTGCTCGAGAAGGAGAACGAGCAACTCAGGAACTTCATTTGGGGCAATAATTGATAGTGTTTGGTGGAGTCTTGTTTGGTTTAATAGAATAAGGAAGATGGCGATTTGGTGTTGTTTGTTAAGAAGGATTGTTGTATTATTATACTTTATTTGATATATAATAGGAATTCAATCAAATCCAAAATTAGAAGTGAATGTGTAGACATATGCAAAGGTCAGATTTCTTAACTATTAATAATCAAATTATAGAACTGTGAACAATGAAACAAAACTGCATTAAGATGAGTAAAATAAGAGGATTTGTTGATATATTAAAAATTGAATTGATATCGAATTTGAAAGTCGGGTATTTTGTATCAAGTGGTATTGTTATTAAGAACGACTAATTTAGATATTTAAATGTAAATAATGGATATAACAAACTGAAGTCTGATTAACCATTTTTTGTTGTTTTAATAACAAAATTTGAATAAGTTGTATTGTTATAAACATTTTAATATTGCATTTGTTCCATTTCTCGTGTATGAATTTGTATTATTAGTCTAAATTTTGTTGTTTAACAATGTATCAGCCATTAGCGTTACATAAACTTAATCTTTATATACTTTATTTTGACCTTTTTTTAATATCAATTTTAAAAGTTCTAATAAAAATATTATCAACGAAATAATTTTAAATGAATTCTTCCACAAATATCGAAACTGTTTGAACTGTAAAATACAAAAGTATTGTGTTCATTTTTGTTGTTAAAATTAACAAACACAACAAAAAGTTAAATTTAAGTGTTATGGCCGCTTTATTCTGTGTTTGTTGGCTTACTTCGAAATTATTACAATTCAATAATTGTAAAAAAGACAGTTTTTAACAAAACTGAAAGAATTTTTTTTTCTCAAAAATCATTTTTTTATTGTTTAAATACATTCAAACAACTAAGAAGCCTTTTGAAACAAAAAAAGACAATAATAAACATTCAACGTGTTTGTAATGAGAAAAAAACACAATATGAATTTTAAGTCTATTACATATACACGAAAGATTATTTAGAACAAAAAAACTATAAAGTTATAGTAATTTATAGTTTGATATTTTTTTGTTTTTTGATTTTTTTTGAATTAAAAAAGCATTTAAATGATTTTTAAAAACTATTTTTATAGTTTACTTGTTAATTATTTATCTTTGAAGTGTAACTTACACTATAAATGATATCGAAAAATTTTTTTATTTTTTGGTTTACAAACAAAGTAATTTTCAAGACAAGAAAACAACTTTTTTTCTTATTTTTATTTTTGTTTTTATAATAATTTGTCAGATATAAAAAAATGTCAAGCAACCTTTTCTATTAAAATTGACCATATAGTAACTTCTAAATTAATTGTTTATTTATTAAATAATGAAATATCAAACAGTCCTAAAAATGCATACTGAATGATACTTTATAATAAATTTATAATAAAAAAATCAGTGCTTAACATTTATTTCATTATTTTAATAATTTTTGAAATTGTTTTTTTTCAATCCATAAAAAAGCCATTTTAAGAACAATATTAGAAAAAAAACAGTTACTACAATTATTAATTTGCACTATTGACAAACAATTACTATTAAAATAATTAATTAATAACTATTATTATAATTTAAATGATCATTATCAGCAAAATGGACTTCAAACTACCATAATAATTGTTCCTGTTCATCGTTTTTGGTGAAATTTCTTATTACAATATACTAATAAAATAAACCATTAATATATAATATGTCTTTGAACACTTAAAGACACCATGTGTGCTATTTTTGTACAACTTCCAAACTTTAAAAGCCACAAATTGAATGATAACTGAGAAGCCGGTCGTTGATTATCCCGAGCAAACTCCATCATTTGATGTTCAAGACACTTCTCCTGTATCTGATAGTGAGACCTCATTGTTACAACAATCTTCTGATGAAAAGAAGAGTGAAACGAAACACATATCCACTTTCTCTGTGTTTCCTCTTGTAGTAAATGCAGCAGTTTGTTTTCTTCATTGGTTTCTGTACCTTCTTTGTAACAAACAACTGATCCAATAGATCGGAACGGGTGTCTTTGGACTACCATTGGCCTATTTTGAAGCCGGTGTATACCCAAGTCTCCTCATTTTAATATTGTTCTTTTTTTTAAACAATATCACTGCAGGGTATGTCCTGGAAGCACTCAGTCGGCTCAACGTCTTACCCTCAAAATTTTCAACGAAGTATATCTTTCCCGAAGTGACTCCACTCAATGAAAAAACACCTTTAGAAGACCAAAAGCAACACTTGGTTGACCAAAAACTGAAGTATGAAGTTGTCGAGCAGAATTGTATAATAAAGAACACATACGGATACACAGAAATGGGTCTGCGCCTTGGTGGCTCTCCATTAAAAATCTTTTCCAATATGTGTATCATCTTAAACTGTTATGGTGGGCTCTGGGCGTATGTAGCAACGTGTGTCACGACATTTGTGACAGTGATTTGGATTATCGTTGGCGATCAAGAGAAGTGTTCCAACTCGCAATATAAAAACCCATGGGAATGTCAAGTCACATATTATTGGTCGATCTTTGTGTACAGTGTTCTAGTGATACCGTTGAGTTTTCTCGATGTCGGTCGACAAGCCTTCATTCAGATTGCATTGACATTCATTCGATTCTTTTCGTTTGGTGTGATGGTGATCACATGTGTTGTTCAAATCAGTATGACCGGCCCACTTGATGCCGAACGAAACGTCTTTGCGTTCTACTGGGATGGGTTTGGTACGATGTTCACACACACGGCCTTTGCATTTGTTGTCCAACACACTTTGCCTGCGCTCATTGGCCCTGTTAAAGGTGACAAGAAGAAAGTGCATTTTGCGATCTGTTCTGCACTAAGTATTGCGTCAGTCTTCTATTTGCTTGTTGCGATTGTCTGTGCATACACTTTTAATGGGAAAGTAAAGACTCCAGTCACACTAAATTGGGCCAATTACACTGGAAGAGATGGTGGGTGGGGTGATGGGAAAGAGTTGTGGTTTGCTTATATCATCAAGTACTTGATTCTCTTCTTCCCAGTCCTCAATCTAACATCAACCTTCCCATTACTTTCAAATACATTGGCCGCAAACATCGAAGATTTGTTCCCTCTTAAAGTCAAAAAGAGACATGGCAGATGGACTAAATTTGGGTCAAGAGCTATCGCTATATTCCCCCCTTTCATCCTCACAATGTTCAGTAGCTCTCTCAAAATCATTTTCGACGTCTCGGGAATCATCGCGTTCTTCTTGGCGTTCACATTGCCTTGCATCTATGTCTTCATGTCTCTCTACAGATTTAACAACATCAAAATGTGTCATCTGAGACCTAAAACCCCTTACACTAATTGGGTGACTTCAACACCGGTAGCTATTACTGCAGTCTTCTTTGTGACACTCACACTCTTTTGCGTGTCACTGTACTTCCTTATACAAAACATCGTTCTGTCATTTTGATGAGATTTTGATTGATTTTGTTTTTCATTTTTCTTTTTTATTAAATAATTGTAATATTTTATTATATTTTATTATATTTTATTATATTTTATTATATTTTATTATATTTTATTAGTTGTCAAGTTAAACAAAATTTCTTTAGATTTAGTTCAAACTTCATTTCTCAAAAACACAGAAAAACGATTTTTTTTCTTACAGTCAAAATTTATAAAACGTTCATTCCAAAAATAGTAATCACGTAATAAACACTACTCTTTGTTATTTGACTGAACAGATTTGTTATTTTGAATATTATAATTAATAGTTATGATAAATCAATAATAAACTATAAATTAAAATAACGAAAACTACCATTCATCTTTTCTTGATTCCTCATACTCTGGACTATATAAGAACTGATGTATCTAAAAAATTTAGTCAAAGAAATGGAACATCAATTCATGCCTGATTTCCCAATAGTTTGTTTATTGATTAAATATAATAGGAATTGATTCTACACAAACAATGCTATACTTCCATATTCATACTATAATTAACTATAATAATTAATAAGACTCAATGATAGGTCCCCATGCGTAAGTCCGATGCTGTGGATGTGACCTTTGCGTGCACGCAAGCCATGAACGGATGTCTCTTAGAGAAGAATGCGTTATCTGCGCTTCAATCTTTAACATCTCTTCGCAAGGAAGCGACCTCACATGAATTCAGTCAAAGCCATCGTGACGCGTGTTGGAAGTACATAGAGATACTCTCGCAGATCTGGTCGAAAGCACAAATCCACTTGAACTTTGTGTGGTACGACACTTACTTAGTCGACGACAAGAAACCTGTGAAGTACACGTCGTCCTCTTTAGACTTTGAGAAGGCGAATATCCTCTATAACATGGCATGTTCCGATATGGCCTTAGCCGCTTCGTTCACTAAAAGTTCCTCTGCGGACTCGTTGAAGTCTGCCGTCCAAATCTTCCAACAAGCTGCTGATGCGTACCAGAAGTGTCTTGATGCGTCTCAGATCAGTGCGCAGAACAAAGGCGATTTGAGTCCCAAACGACTGCAAACGTTAGTTACTATGGCGCTTGGCTGTGCTCATTTAGTGATGCACATCAATGCATCTACACAAGGGAAGAGTGAAGCAATTCAATTGAAATTGGCTGTTGGTGCAATGAATCAATTAAAACCAAGTGTGGAGGCGTTTAAAGCGTTTTACGGGCTCGGCGTGACGTACAACTTCATCTCGAATTTTGTCGCAATCAAGAACTATGCGATATACTGCGCACAGAGTCTTGCGGCGGAACAGTGTGTGCCCAAATTGGAGTACGGAGAACAGATTGCGCGACTCCAATTAGCCGTCCAGGCACTCGATAGAGCTGCGTCGATATCATATAACAGCGCGAGTAAAGGAGCTTTGAAGAAGATGCACACGGAGCTCAATGCGAGATTAAAAGAGGCGACGAAAGCGAATAATGACATTTATATGCAATCAATTCCAGACGAAAAGGCATTGGCGGCACTTCCTGAGATACTCGCAGCGAAACCAATTGAGATGGAGAAGCTGCCGGATATCTTTGGATCGATTCTCCCTGCTAATATGAGTTCGGCGTTGAATGAATATAACAGCAAAGTTGGTGTTATAATGAACGATACACGAATGGTCTGCGGGACGAAGAACTCGGAAGGAGAGGCATTCTGTAAACAAGTCTGCGGGAACGGACAAATACCACAGGACTTGATGAACCGAATTGCACAGATAAACTCCACGAACGTCTGTGCGTCGATTTCAAGTCAACTGCCGGTCGTCAAGAAAATGGACTTGGAGACAGTCACGTTGTTTGAAAAGGCAATAACGTCGCTCGACTCTGAAAATGCGGAGGAGAGAAGACTGAAAGGACAATACGGGTATCAATGGGTTAGAACGCCATCAGAACAAGCGGCGTTGAATTACAGAAAGGACGCGGAGAAGTTCAGAATTGCACTGAAACAGGCGCAAGACATTGATAAGGAGATTGAGAGGAAATATGGAGTGATTAATACACAAATGCAAATAGCACAATCTGCAAAGGCTACACCCCAAACAAATCCAGAGGAAGTTGTGAAGAAGTGGAAAGACATTGAAGAAAGAAGAAGAAAAGCACTGAATACGATGGAAGAAATCTATTTGAAGAACGAAAAGGATAAGATTAATGTCATTAAAGGAGGAAATGGAAGTCAAGCCGCTGTTCTCTCATTATTGAACGAATTTAATGAACCTAAAGGACAGATCCAACAAACATTGTTTGACCAAGATATGCTTATTAAACAAAATAGAACGACAAGTTCAATCGATGTGGCTGCTTTGAGAAACGCGTTGAACTCAATTGACGAAGTAATGAAAACATTGGAACAAAGTTTCCAATTCCATAAAGACGCACAAATCAAAATTGCTGAATTCCAAAGAACTTGCAACGAATTCCAAGAAAGTAGACAACAAGAAGCAATGAGAATGGTCCAACAACTCAGCAACGGAACAATTTATCAACAAGGCCAACAACAAGCACAACAATTCACACCACATCAATTCCAAATTCCACAACAACAACAGCAGCAACAATATAAACAATACCCACAACAACAATACCAACAACAGAGTCAACAACAGTATAACCCAAATCCTTACGGTCAACAACAAACACAATTCAAAACTAACCCATACACCGTCGATACACAACAAAGACAAAATTCTTATGCTCAAGCCCCTCAACAGAACTATCAACAACAACAACCAACCTATGGACAAGCTCCTCAACCTTATGGACAACAACAACCACAACAACAATATGGACAATACCAACAACCAGGTTATCAACCATATCAGCCGTACGGACAACAAGGTAATTTCCCGCACCTTTAAAAGACAAAACTACGATAATCCACACTTTTTATTATTTATTTATTCGTTGTTAAATGACGAATATTTAATGCAATTTATATTATTACTACAAATACGGTATTATGTACTATTCTTATACTATTTATTTAAAGTTATTATTTTAATAAATTAAAATCATTTTGATAGTTAAATAAATGCCAAGTTTAAATGTTCATTTACAATAAATAAGTATTATATTTTATACTTATTTTTTAAAAGTTTTTAAACATTTGAATGAATTTCATCATTGCGTTATTTTTTGTTTTATCAATTGTTTATTGCTATTTTTCGATTCATTTTTTATCACGTTAAAAAACTAAAAATAGAAAAATTTAATTCAATTTCAAAAGTTTATTTTAATTATAATGCGATATTTTTGTCGAATTGTTGGAGAATCAATTTTAAAAAACAAGAAAATGGTTATTCATTTTTATTATTTTAAGCAATAGCACTCATTAGATTTAGAAGAAATTATAAACCAATTAATTGCATAAATACTGACACAAAAACAACAATATTTAATAATTATATTTGCCTTGATTACAATTTGTATTTAAAAATTAAAGTTGTACATTTAAACAATTGTTTACACAATAATTATTATTGTTTCAAGGTTATAATAAATTGTTTAAACGATACAAATAGATTTATAATTAATTGTTCAACCTTCATACAATTCACAATATAGGTTATTTTATAATATTACATACTTGTTATTCAACACAAAATAAGTTTTTTTGTTTATAGCTTAATTGTTATAAAAACTTTATTTTTTTAACTTTATCAATAGTCTAAGAATATTTATTAGTTTAAACAAAGTACCTAAGATATACTCAGACAACACATAAAAATAAAACAATTTGAACCAATTTGTTATTTTATAAATCAAATTTTTAGCTTGGGTCTTTGATCATTAATTTAAAAGCTTTGATTACCGAAATAATTATAATCATATTTTTCATATCATTGTAAAACAATTGTGTTACATCAAATATACAAGTAATGTTATATTAAGCTTTACTAAATTTATTAGAGTCATTTTTTAGACATTGTGCCTGTTTTATATGGTAATAACTGCAATTTATTGGGAAAGTTTTTGAAACGCCAAAAACACATTGTTTAGGTTTATTTCCATTTTTTGAGTTTACCCCCATTTCCCAAAAATATATAATTTGTTGTGTTATTTTTTTCAAAATGTATTTATTAAAGACTGACTCTATTTACTATTTAAATTATTTATTATAAAAAAATAACAAAAATGAAAAACGTAACATTTTACAAAATTATTTTATTATTGATAATATCATTGTTTTTTATTCAATTTTTAATTATTTGAGGGACAATTCTAGAAAAAAAAATTGAATTAATAAAAAAATGTATTTAATCTGTTCAAAATTACAATAGAAATATTAAATTGATTTATTACATTTACATATTTTTTATTTTTATATAATTCCGTAATATTTATTCTCTCATTAATCAATGATTTGTTTACAATTCTGACTTTAAAACAATTTGAAAACAACTAAAAAATCTTTATTCAAAAAAAATTTAGATTCAGAATTTTTTTTTTGTATTAATAATTTATTGATGAACATTAAAATGTTTCAGTGATAATTTAAAAAAACACAGTAAAGAATAAACCTGATTTGTATATTAAATAAAATTAAACCAATCAACTTATAAATTTTATTTGGGTATCATTTTACATTTTTACAGATCAGTATGATATTTTGAACATCAACAAATATCTTTAAAAGAATCAAACAAATTTGAGTAATTCTGATTATTTTGAAATGAAAAATGATTGTATTCTAGGCAATAATTAAAACAATGTATTGACTGGTATTTATTAAAAGAACTGCTTTTTATAATAAAAATATTATGATAAAATATAATATGTTTTTTTTGTTTATCAAAACCCACATTAGAAAACTCATTCACCAGAAAATAGTATTAGTATAGTTTTATGATTGTTTTTGTATAATTTCGTGTTTTGAACTTTTTAAAGACTTTGATTTATAAATTGTTCATTAAAATTAATAATATATTAATTTATTCACATTTTAAGCTTGTATAATACTAAAATCATATATGTATAACAATTATCTTACTGTATGACCATTTTCTTGTCTCAATTTATCAAAATATTTGCATAGAACTTGTTATTTATAATTAATTCTGTTTATTATTAAAATGGTTTGAAAAGTAATTATTTGTCTATAAATATTTAAATATATTATAAACAAGTAATAATCCCCACTAAACAATAAAAATATTAAAATTTGATAAGAAAAAATAATGTTTACTAATTAAAATTAATAAAATACTCTATTTTGATTTCTCTGATACTCAATCCATTCTTAAGGACTTTTTATTAACAAAAGATGAATTATTATTTAATGGTGTTAACTTTACATTTATTAATTGTTAAATATTGTATTTTGTGTAAGTGTTTTTAAAGAAATCTTGTGTAATACAAACACTATACCTGTTGTAAAACTATCCACAAGATAAAGTAAAATTTAGAAATATTTTATAATTTTCGAAAAATACTCATATTTGATTAAAATTGTTTTTTTAAAAAAACAATTGTTGGTCGTAAACAAAACAAAAAATTTCGAACCATTTAAAAAAACGTGTTTTATCCCAACAATTTGCCTTGTGGACTAGTTGTAAATATTAAGATTTTTTTAAAGGGTAAGGATTATTCTAAAATCGGTATTCTATCTATTTAATTTACACAAATAAATAATTCACAACAAATTTAAATTTTAAAATAAACAATCAATTTAAAAAATATCGGAGATACTCACTTACATGTATTAATATTTTAAAAATGGGTTTAAAAATCGAATATAATAATATAATAACATCAAATTATTTTTAAATAACTTTAAACAAAGTTGATTTTAACTTAATAAATAATTGTAAAGTTTTGATAATGCTCTTTTAATTTAAAACAACTAAAACTTTATATACACAAATTGTATTAGTGTTTTTACTGTTTGTATTTTAAACAATAACAGATAAAATTCTTTCAAAATGAGTATACCACACATAACTTATTTATATCATTTTTATTGTTACCCTTTTATAATAAACTCTTATAATTGATGTTTATCTCAAATTTTGAAAATCAAACGTTTATAAATTTAATTTCAAAAAAATAAGTCATATGTAAATTTAATACCATATATTTTTATTGTAATCGCAAACTGTTTTTATTTCATTAAATAATATAATGATCAAAACTACATGATGTAACAACAATAAAAAAACATTTTGAATCATTCCTCGATTAAGATTTAAAGTGTTTTTATTTGAATTATCATTTTTCATTTTTACTTAAATAGTTTTTATGTTCACTTTTTGCAAGTTCAACCTATCCCCAACCAATGTAAATGGTTTTACCTTTTATTGGTCTGTTATTAAAAAATCGAATTGAAACTTTTATTTATTTCGCAAAAAAATTGAATGTAAAAATAATTATTTATTTGTAAATAAAAATTTGTATTATTTTTAGTGTTAATAATATTATTATATATTTATAATTAAAAAATTATATTCAATAATAAAATGTTAAAATCTAAAAAGTAAATAATAAATGCGAAGGGTTTCTTTGTCGCAAAGACAATAAGCAAATGGCTATTTTCGTCTTTTTTCAAAACCCAGTCAAAAGGAATTTTTCAATATTTACATCATTTTTTTCGACTATGACAGTTTGCCCTCGGTTATTGTTGGTTGCGATGAGGTTGTTTAAATAAGAATTTATTAAAATTCCTTTTTGACCAATTGTATTTTTATTGAAAGAAAATTTACCAAGTTGGAAGCTCTTAATGGTATCAAACTTCAACGAGTAGTTTTTTCCAGTTGAAACCTTTGTTTGGAAGTGATACCCAAGTTCAACAAGTATGTCAAGAAGAATGTGTATGTTCTCGACGATGCGATTGTTCTCGCCACGCCGAGTGATTGTCTTCATGGGGATGCCAATGGATGTCGCATAATTGTTATATTCTTTCATTCGTTGATGAACAAAATTGTCGATTTCGATGACATCATTGCCATTTTTTATCGTTTTGACACAAAGGAACTGACGCCCAGTTATTGCTCGCTTTTTTGGAAGCATCAGAGCGATCGAAAAATGTTTGTTAATAAGTGCAAGAAGAATTGCTTGTTGAGAGACCTGGTAAGTCTTTCTTTTGAATTGGTTGTCATCTCTCATTGATGAAAATATAAGTTTTTAATTCGCTTTTAGGTAATGATTTTATTCATATCTAATTATATTAAATTATGATTAAATAAACTACTTAAAATCAAATGTTACCAACTATTTTTTAAAGAACGTTATTCTTTGTTTTGGTTTTTATTATACATTTTGTGCTAAAAAAATCCAATTCCGATCTACATTTACAATATGATAATAGTATTAATTTTTTATTATATATTAATAAAAATAAAATTATATCGGTAAATTCGTTAAATGGTTAATTAAAAACTTTTCACGAACTTCAATTATCATTTCATTATAAAAAATTAACAAACAAGTACTGGAGTGATAAAAAACCGCTTACATTTTTTAAACCGCTTACACTAGGCTTTATAGAGTTGAATAATATTAATATGATAAAATGTATGGTACTCTTTATCGTGAAAGCTGGAAATGCCCCATGGAGATTTTTTCTGTCTGAGGTGGTTATTTGTATTATACTTGTTATCGTACTTTTATTATTTTGAATTAATAAAACCAATGGAAGTGGTTAAAAGACTGAAAAGGTTTTTTATCCCCTAAAAATTATAATAATATATTATAATTACTTTTTAAACATCAATTTTTTAACCATACTACAAGTTTATTATAAATAAAATTTTTTTCCAAGCTTTTTTTCAAATTCAATATTTTTTGCCAAGATAAATTATGACAAATCTAACAATTACAGTAGGGAAAATGAACCTTAGCCAGGAAATGTACTTTAGCCCAAATAAACTCCTATATTTTTCTTTAAAAACACGGGTTTTTACTAAAAAAACAAATATTTTAGAAAATTGACTTTTATATCGGTATAGTTTATTATTTTAATATAACAATAGAAATAAATTAGTTTTTCTTTGGGCTAAGGTTTAATGGCCCAACTTTACATTTTTTTTAATTGATAAAAAAACAACACAACAAAAAAAAAGTTTTTCTAACTAAAATTAACTCCAATTTTAATAAAAAATCAGATGTCCAATCATTAGTTATTTAATTTTTAGTTCGCCGAATTTAATTTATTTGTTGAAAAACGTCAAAAACAACACAAACAAAAAAATTCGGCCATTATATAATTTATAAAAAAATAAAAAATACAAAAATTGTTTACAACAAGTCAAAAGTTTATGAACAACAAAATAATATTATCTTTTAGTCACCCGCTAAAAGATAAATTTCCGACAAATGTTCAAAAAGAAACCATGGTATAGTTTTTTTAAAATTATGATTTTAGATTGTGTTTCAATTTGACATGTATTTCTTTATAATGCAAATATTTCAAAATAAACTAAAAATTTACTTAATTATAATACTTTGTCAAAAATAGATTAAAGGTGAACTGAAAATCAATTTTAATGGAAAATGCCGTACATGTGCATTTATTTGGACAATACCAAAAAGACCAAACCTACAACTGCGATGGTTTTCAACAATTCAACCAATTCTTTGGATGTATCAGATTCATTATGTTGCTCGCTGAAAATAACAAAACTCTGGTAATATTAAATCCATGTGCTTCTCATTTCCTTCAAGTTCTTGATTTGGGGATATTTGGTAAGCTCAAAAAAAGAATGTCTTCTTTTAAAGCTTACAACAGTTTTGTATATTTGGGGTTTCAAGAAGAAGTATAAAAGGAAGATGTAGATTGTAATTTGTTTTGGAAAGAAAAACCATTTTCACAATATTGAACTCGGAAACAGACTTAAAGTGTTGATGATATTGGTGGATTTTTTTGTGGTTGCAACACCTCCTTTAATAATTATTGCTTTTAAACAAGTTGGTATAGTCAACCGAATTGACAAATCACTTCCAAAGTGTCGTGTATCCATTAAAAATTGTAAAAATTTATAGAAACCCCACAATACAGAAAAATATTTGAATAGTTTATTTCAAAACCATTTCCGTTGTCTCAAAAGAAAAGAACGATAGTATTACTTTTTTTTCAAGTAGTAGTTAAAAGAAAAAAAAATGAAAGTAAAATAATATTAAATGACCAAAAGAAGATAAAAAATCCGGTTTTAAGATTGCCGTTGTTTTTTAAATCAATTATTAAGCTTGACAAGAATTGATTCGATATGATTATTTTATTAATTATTATTTAATTATTATGTTATTTGTGTTATTTTTAATGTATTTTATTATTATAACATAAAATAATAAATTAGTAAATATTTAGACCATTTGTCGTGTTCTCATTACTTTTAGTGGGTTACTATTATTAAAAAAATACAATAATTTATAAATATCGTTTTATTTAATTTGTTTTTTAAATCGGGTTTCAATTAATACTATGATTTTTCTTTTCATTTCAATTATAAAATTATATCAATCAATTTGTATTATATCAAATGAATTTTTATAACAATCATTCTGATGGTATACTACAGCATAAATTCTCTGAAAGTTCAACACCCATTTTCGCAAGGTGTCTGGCAATTTCGATTCATTTTCTTGCTAAAAATCTCCAAATGGGTTTTCGTGTTTTTTGTGATACTAGAGTTTTCACGAGTAAACAATTGTGTGTCTAGATTACTTTGAACTAACAATGGATGCTTTTCATACTCTGCATAACAAAATTAATGTCAGGTGTTAACAATGGTTCAGAGTTTGAATTTTGTTGAGTCCCTTCAACCACACTATTTTTGCCGAATCTATTTTTGACAATTTGTCGTGCTTCAATGTGATCTTCGGTTACCAAAATTTTCTTTTTGATGCCCAGATTCGGGTATTACGAAAACAAATAGAAGAGTGTTGGACCGGATTCAGATGATAAATAGTAACTCATTTTTAACTATTGTCGTGATCTTCATGAAATACTTAAGAAGATTTAATTCTGTTGGGTTGAGTGTATAACATTGTTTAAATACGCTTATTCTTTAAGTGTTTTTAATAGTTCCGATTTTTTTTTATCATCTCAGTGTTTATTGTTTGGATTTACAATAATTAACTTTATATCATTCAAATTTTCAAAAACCAATAATTTTTGATATTAGTAAAATAATGTTTGACAACAGTTTTATATGTTTTTATGTAATGAGGAGATATATTGTTAAACTCTTTTTCGCTTTTTTAACAATTCTTTTTGCCTTCAACGAAGCATTTGGTACAGTTTCATTTATTGTTATTGAACTTTTTAGTATGAGATTCAATCAAGAACAAGCACAATTTATAAATTTACGTTCTAGTTGTTTTACACTTTTAACAATATAAGTTGCGTTATCAGATACTATTGAAAATTCCCCAAATTTGTCTATATTCCAGTTTTCAACAACACTATTAATAAACAATTCAATGTTATCGACAGTATATTCTTCTACATACTCCGAAAGCTTTAATACTTTACTTTTCATTTTGACTGGAATGTATAATGGAGAGTAAAGTTGTGAAATCTTTTCCTTGTTTGGTTTTCCAGCCATTTATTGTACCACATATACCATTTTCAGCGTGTTGTATTTTTCTGAATAAAACGTGTTTGTACTTTTGGTACAAATATCCAATTCTGGTGGTAAGTGTTTGTATGCTTGAAGGAATGTAATTTGGTTCAAGTAATTTTAGAATTAAACAGAGTGGTTTATTGTCAACAATTGACAGACTAACTCCAGGACAACACACCTACAACTCCGAAAGTTTGTCAACATTGTGGTGTATTATACACGGGTCTCTGATTCCTGTGTTGTATTTACCTTTTTAGCGAGACTCACTATTCCATGTTGGTCGGGATGTTGATCTATGAGATAGTTTAACACATTTGTTGTTGTCAAACCTTCACAACAGCAAAAGTTGTGGTCACAATAAGCATAAGCAAATTTAAGAACACCTTTATCGTTATCTTTTCTATTTTTTTCTTCTTGTTCGCTTCCCTGTTTTGGAGTCAAATTCATACACATCACGCTCTTTGTATCGATAGAGTTCATTGAAAATGGCTTTACCATCAATACTAGTTTGGGATATTGACGTTTAATTACAATGATCAACATTTTATTTGAGTCTTCCATTTGCCGATTTTTAAAAATGGTCTTTTTATAAGCGAACTTGTATTTTATTGTTTTTTGTTCAATAAAAATAATATATAAATTGTTTGAAATTGTTTATTAAAGTGAGGCGAGAAACCCACACCCTGAAAAAAACCCGCTCCCATTTTCTTTTTTCTTCTTTGAAAAGCTGTTGAATGAAAAAAGGTTCAGTCTCAGTTTTTGGTTAATTAAAAATGTTCTAATAATTAAAATACAATATGAAAAATACATGAAATTAACCTTAAATAACAAAAATAAATTATCAGGAAATTAAAAATCAATATAAACTGTTTTCCAAAACTCTGTACCGTTTCCAAAATTTATAAAAACCCTTTGTCCTAATTTCCCGTTATTTACTATTTTTTATTTGTTTTATCTTTTATTTTCCTATTTGTTGAACCAACAACGGTACACAGTTTAAAACCCTTAAAAATCAATACAGTTTCAGTTATAGAACAAAAAATCGGGAAATCACCCAAATATTGGGTAAATCTTCCCCGATTTTCCAGGATCGTTATTTAATCGGTGGTTTATTTTTTGACTAAACGTCAGTGAAATTCTATCTTTCAAATAAACATAAGATAAACGTAATATAACGATAAACTAATGATGTAATGAAGGACATTATTGCATCAAATGATACAACACTTAAATTAATAATAAGTTATTGTTTATTTCAACAATTAAAAAGGTAATCGATAACATAAAACAAACCTTTAAACAATCAAGGTTATTAATCAAAAGAGTCTTAAATAAAATAAACAGTTCAAAAATAAAAAAACTTTTCAATTGTATAGCCTTAACCAATTTATCTTCTCTCAATGCTTGTTTTACTCATTAGTACTTTTCATTTTTATCCAAAACACAACTTGGTGATTCTGTAAACATGGACATTTAATTATAAAGTTGTGTTTTATGTTTTTGGCAAAATTTAAGTTATGGCAATCAAATTTGTGATCCCAAGTTTGTTTTTTATATTTTTCAAGTAAATTTTTGGTGCAAGATTTATTTGTCAAGTAAAATTTAAAAAACTCAGGTTTGTTATTTTGTTTTTACGAGTAAATATTTTGAACAAAAAATGAGGATTAAGAAAAGAAAAAATAATTTAAGAATTATTTGTCTAAAAAATTGGGACGTCCCAGTACAGAGTTTTGAAAAACAGTTTATATTATCCTGATGTTTCTAATGAAGTGATTAATAAGTTTTTGAACATATTTTAGGTTTAATTTTAATATAATTTATTAAATGTTTAGATTAACAAATATAATATAAGGTTCACTTCTTAATACATACCTTATAATATTAATTACTGATTAGTTTAATATAGTATCTAAACTATAGATTGTTATTCAGTTTATTAACCATAAAAATACTTATAAGAAATCAATAATATATATCCACTTTAAACCCATTTCTAATAGTTAATAAATTGTATTTGTCTACCACTTAAACATAATAAATAACACAAAAAACAAACAAATATTAGTCGTGCGTAATTTGCATTATCTAATTGTTAATTTATATGCGCTATATGTAAATAAAATTGCCAATGGTGATCGGGATCCGCAACAACTCAACACAAACACATCTTTGTTGTTTGTGTTGAGTTTGAATATTTGAACTTGTTTATCTTAATTTTAAGTTTTCATAAAAGTTTTTTGAGAAAAAAAATGGTGGATATAAAACTCATCTAATTTTTCAACAACTTAAATCATTTTAATAGTTTATATTAACCCTTCCAGTACCAGGAATTTCCAAAAATGTATACTTAATTTCATCTTATTCATTTTGAGTGTATTTTAGAGAGAATAAATGCAAAAAAACTTTAAACTCTTTACAACCATGGGAAATACCAGAAAAATTAATAGTAAATAATAATTTAAAATATTATAATTTAATAATAAATTTTAACCTAAAATCTTATTTTTGTTGAAAAAAGGTTCACTTTTTTCAACGAGAGAGACTTGAAGATTCCTCTGATTATTCTCTTTTCAAGTTGAAAAAGTTTTTGTTTTTATATCAAAAAATAGTATAGTATATTAAACTAAACGCAATAATAATCTTTACGAAAAGGAGTTTCAGAATGTAAAAATGAATTATATAACTTTTCAATTTGAATATTTATTATTGAAAAACAAAAGATACTTCATTTTTTGAATATTCAGAAAAGCGATTACATCAAACAAAAAACACTGTGATCTCATAATTATTTTTTCATCTTTTTTGTAATTCAGTGAAAAATAAAATAATTCGAGTTTGTCAAAAAAGAGTAAAATATAAAACTGAAAAAATAAGAAGAAAATACACCTTTGTGAAAATCACATTTTTTTAGTTTTTTATTATTCAATAAACAATAAAAACCTTTAAATTTAATAATAAATGAATAAGATTGATTTTTAATAGTCAGACACATCAATTTGAATAGAAAAAGAGTCATAAACAACTCAATGAGTAAAATAAAGACAGTAAAACCAAAATTTGTCTTAAATGATCATGACACCTTGTTTATTTAATTTCGTATGTCTTACAGTTGTGAGTAATAAAGATATGACTTTTTCAAAAAAAGACAAATGTATTATGAATACAGAAAGCAAATTTTTCTATATGATTGGAAAGACAAGTATTTGTTTGTTATTATTAAACAAATGGTAATTTATAATCTGTTTTGTCTGATTATTTTTTTTGTTTTGGCATTTGTTTTTTGAAAATGCATTTTTGGGATGAAAATCAAAACCAGAAAATTAATAAAAACGAGAGATTTACTGATAAACTGTGTATAGTTTATGTATTTACTTATAAAATAGTGACTCTTATCAACCAGATTTTGTATTCTACTCACCCACTTTCACAATAAATAGCTATTTGAGTGAATATACTGTTTGTTGCTTGAGGCGTTTATACAGGGATACACAATAGGAACTAACCAACAAATAGATTCACAATTCTTCTATATTGAATTGATATACCAACTCAGTAGAGTGATGCTATCTTTACAAATTTAAAATCAATGATAAAACATACAAAAACAAAGAAGCAGGGTGATGTGAGTCAGAGATTTGGAAATTATGTAATATATCATTTATTTGTATTATATTATAGTAAAAAATTAGTATAATAATAATAATAATATAATAAAAAAGCAAAGCTCCTCCCCTATAAATTTGTAAAAAACGCTTTGAATATTGTACGATACACAGAAATGATTTTCAGAGATCACAAAAGAAACAGAAAAATAACAAAGAAAATAGATAGATTATTAACTATAATAAAACCTATAAAACCAAAGAAGTAATTTACTCCATTTCCATCAATAACTCTGTCAATTCATTGAGGAAATTCAACCTGTCCACCTTATCGTGATGATAATGATATACCTTGTAGGCATTGAGGGCAGCGATGTCAAGTAAATCATAAAGTATTCTCACATTCCATCTTGAAGTGCGCCTTCTACAAGTGTAAGTATGTATCATCTGATCTGCGCTATCAACACCTCCCATTGTCGCATTGTATTGTTTTATCACATTTGGTTTGTGTACACTCACAAGTTTGCCATCCTTTCCCCTCACTTGCTCCTGAACGGTGTACAACTCTTTAGCATTATGCATCGTCGTCATAATAAGCACCAACTTTTTCTTTTCGTTTTAGTAAGAAAGCAATTTGCATACACCTTTTGTGTACACTTCCTTTGAATCTGCCTCTCTTGTAGTAGCCTTCTTATCATCATTGGGGTCATAACGTTTGATTTGCTTGGCTTCTTCTGGTACCTCAACTCTATTTTTTCGCACAGTTCCAAGCAATGTTGAACCACATTGAGCCAAATAATGTGCCAATCTTAAGCTGCAGAAAAAGTTGTCACATACAACTGTCACAAACTTTCCCATACACAATTGTGGAGCCACCATATCTATCGTCACCCGAAATCCTTGATTTTCTTTTTTCTTGTCGCACTTTCCACAGTACATCTGTAGGTTTATAACCATACCACTTTCACAAACACGGCACATCTTTTTGTTATTTATTGAACATATTATCAAACACAATATCAACAACAAGTCAATTACCGATGTATATGTCTCAACACCGTGAATCTCCGACTTCATTGATTATTCTTACAACAAAAAAACCCAAAACTTGATGCCGTAACGCTGAGGTTTGGACTTGATGAATACCTTTGCCCATATCTTTCCCTTGAATGCGCAAAGGTGTTCATCAACCGATAGTGTGGTGCTTGGTGTAAAGTATTTGTTGTTCACTAAGTTGTGAATAAAAGCTTCCAACACTTCCCTAATTTTGCCAAACTTGTCATTTGAGTTTGGCGTGTTTGATGCTTTGATTAACCCCTTTTCTATAGTCTCT